ACCCACTCACGAAGCTGCTGAAGGGTGGGTGTGTCCGGGAGGCATGTCAGCTGCTGTCCACTCCCATAGCCTCCGCCGCCACGAGCTGAACCCCCATGGCCTCCACCCCTGCCAGCTCCACCCCGACCGCCTCCACCACCCCTCCCGCCTCCACCACCCCCGCCACCTCCACCACCCCTGCCACCTCCACCTCTGGTGCCACCTCCACCGCCTCCTCCCCCGCCACCACCACTCCCGCTACCACCACCGCTAGTGACACCCCCACCACCCTTACCCCCCTTGCCCTTGCCGTTGCGGCGCTTCCCACTAGGAGCAGACGCAGCGCCGACTCCCTCGGCACCAAGGAGGTCGATAGCAGCAGCAGATGCAACCGAGGGTATGAGAGGGGAGGGAGCACACCCTTAAAAAAAGGGGGAGCGGGGAGTGCCATGGGAGGCAGCGACAGCGACAGTACTGGTCTCAGCCTCAAATAGGTACTTCTCCAGCGAAGCAAGCGTGAGCTCAGTGGGGTCAAGGGCGAGGAAGTGGTCCCTAACTGTGCGGAGGGAGTCAGGGAGGCAAGTGACAAAGAAGTACAGGGTGCTATAAAGGGGGGGGGGGGGGGGGTTCGCAGTGAGGAAGGCCGGCTTGAGAGCGGCGCGGTAGCGAGTCTCACTAGAGTGAAGGTGGGTCATGAGATCAGCAACGGTGTGGAAATTTGCGAGCTCAGGAAAGAGGTACGGCAGCATGAGACGGCCTAGGGCAATAGTAGCTGGGGAGGAGTAACGAGTGACAACGGCGTCATAGAGGTCTTTGGCTATCTTCTGCTGGCCAAAATGTGCCCTCTCAGCTAGCGGGAGGTGGTTGCGGACAGAAAGGCGGGCAGTAGTTGTCAAAAACTAGTAGTAGAAAGTAAGAATGAAGAAAGGAGGAGTTTGCACTAGCAAGCAGTTGGATACATATAACAAACCCTAATTGGGCTGTACTCACTATGGAGTACCCCACTGCAGGCTAGACAATTATAACATTCTGACACACCCCCATAGCCAAAGTGGGGTGTAATCAGCACAACAAGCAAGCATAGTAATAGTTCACAATTATAAGCAAAGCTAGAGGTAATCACAGCGGGCACGTGAGGAGGAGGAGGGACTGTGCGAGGATAGAAGATGGGAGACGACGGCTGAAGTTGCAGACACACGGGCAACAGGAGCTGCTGGCACAGTGGCTACCGAGACAGCGCCCCGGACTACTGGAGTAACTGGCTCACGGGCTACGAGGAGCTACAGGAGCAACGGACCCACAGGCGACAGGCGCAGCAGACTCTCTGGGCTACCAGGACAGTGCGCCCCGGACTACAGGTGCTGCGGACGACAAGACAGCAGCCTCCACTCAACCTCCCCCGACCGTCCCACACCCCTCTCACACACACCCCCTGCTTCACCCCTAGCTCCACTCCCCCTTCACCCCCCTAGCACCACTCCTTCGGCTCCCCACACACACACCCCCCTGAGCGGCAGCTGCAGCAGCGGGAGATGGAGGAGGAGGAGGAGTAGGGGACGGCGCACACAACGGGCACCCCCACAACCGCCATCCCCACACTCCTCAGCCCAAAACCCTAAAACGGGTTGCAAGGGGCAGGAGCGCGGGGGGACGGCAGGGGGGACGGCGCGCGGCCCCCAGGGCGCCACCACGGGGCAGCAGGGGGCCGCGCGCGGCTCCCCAGGGCGGCGCGACGGGGCAGCGGGGGGTCGCGCGCAACTCCCCAGGGCGCCGCGACGAACGGGCGGGGGCAGCGCGCGGCTCCCCAGGGTGCCGCGACGGACGGGCGCGGGCAGCGCGCGGCTCCCCAGGGTGCCGCGACGGACGGGCGGGGGCCGCGCGCAACTCCCCAGGGCGCCGCGACGGACGGGCGGGGGCAGCGCGCGGCTCCCCAGGGTGCCGCGACGGAAGGGCGGGGGCAGCGCGCGGCTCCCCAGGGTGCCGCGACGGACGAGCGGGGGCAGCGCGCGGCTCGCCAGGGGGCGCCAGGAAGAAGAAAGGGCCGCGCGCCCCCCGGGCGCGCGCCACACAGGAAAACCGCCGCGCGCATCAGACGCGCGGTGGGAAGAAAAATTTTCGCCGCGCGCGGAGCGCGCGGCAGGAAGAAAGGGTAGCGCGCTCGGGGCGCGCGACAGCAGTAGAGCAGCGGAAGCTTTAGGTGGTGGGCCCACCCACAGGATCGACCCAAGGGGGTCGACCTGCTCTGATAGCATGTAAAAAACTAGTAGTAGAAAGTAAGAATGAAGAAAGGAGGAGTTTGCACTAGCAAGCAGTTGGATACATATAACAAACCCTAATTGGGCTGTACTCACTATGGAGTACCCCACTGCAGGCTAGACAATTATAACATTCTGACAGTAGCGTCACGTGTGAGCCACTTCAAATGATCTAAGCGGTCGGTTGTATCAGCTGTATTCGGACGTATGTTCATCAATCAAACTCCATCCCTAGCTTCGCTCTGCGGGCACAACTGGAGATCGTCTAGCCAAGCGTCAAAGCTAATCGGGCGACCCTCCGCATCAGTAGCGTCAAAGCGTCAAAGCTGAGAACCAAATTGGTGGCCATAGCAGCAGTAGCAGCCGCAGTAGAAGCCGCAGCAGCAGCAGTAGCAGTAGGATGGGCGGCACAACAAGGCAGTGCGGCTCGGTAGGGGCAGGGCATCGCGGCTCGGGCAGGGCGGCGCGGCTTGGGCTGGGCAGCGCGGCTCGGCAGGGCGGCGCGGCTCGGGCTGGGCAGCGCGGCTCGGCAGGGCGGCGTGGCTCGGGCTGGGCGGCGCAGCTCGGCAGGGCACAACGCAGCAGCGCGTGTGGCAGCAGCAGCTCACGCGCAGCAGCGCGTTTGGCAGCAGCTGCGCAGCAGCAGCGCGTGCGGGTAGGGACGCTCGCGGGCAGGCAGCGTGCGCGCAGGCGGGGGGCTCGCGAGGGTAGGGGCGCTGGCAGGCAGCGCTAGCGGGCAGGCAGCGCTCGCAGGCATGCAGCGCTCGCGGGCAGGCGGCGCTAGCAGGCAGGCAGTGCGCGGGCGACAGGCAGCGTGCGTGCGGGAAGAAGGCGCGCGTGTAGCAGGCAGCGCGCTAGGGGAGGCAGCGTGCGTGGCAGCAGGGCAGCGCGACACTGTTCGGGCAGGGCAGGGCAGCGCAAGGGCGCTTCGGGCAGGGACAAGCGGAATGTTAGGTGGGCCGTAAAAAGAACCAACCGTTAACCTGTTCTAGAACCATTTTGAGAGTTAACCATGCAAGAATGAGGTTGGACTAGGAACAAGGAGATACAAGTATGAAACCCTAATTGGGGTTGTACCCTATAATGAGCACCTCACTGTAGCCTAGTAGAACTAACAACATATAAATATGTTCTGACAAATGGGTCCAACTTTTTCTATAGATTTTGCCCATTACCGTCTTAGTGTGCGTTTAAAGACATGAATGCTGTTCGTTTTGTAAGGTAATCGTTCTGTAAACGGAGATGTCTATTGGCACACCTCAGGATCATCAGTGAACAAATCCCTCGGTTTTGGTTTCCTTCATCAGAGGCGATATGTGTTCCATGGACCTCGCGTATCGAGAATACGAGCAGGCATGGTCTGTGCGAGGCGTGGAACCACATTAGAACGTCGCTCGTCGAGACCACCGGCGCTCGTAGTGGTATTCAGGCCGCAGCATCAGATCAGATTCCAGAGAGGCCAGCATTAGTCCGTATTAGTGACTTACGGCAGTCTGTCCGTACCAACATTCTTGTAGGATACACTATCAGCGAACGCGGCTCGGAAGACTACTCCTAGTCATGGTTGGTTACAGAGACGCGGCGTTTGGCACGTGGATTGTGAACAGAAATGGGTCTGCGACCGGGGTCTTGCAGTCTCCCACGTGGCATTTCAGCAGCTCTGTGGACCTGAAGCCTGAAGATTTCAGCTGGCACGTGGCATGTGCGTAAGCCTCGTCGCGACGACCTTATTTTTTCCTCGCGAAGTTACCGCTTTCTTCTTACGGTTAGCGAGCGCCTGCCTCATAACGCGGTACTCTTTAGTAGATTAGTTAGTCATAATGAATGCCAACCAGTGAATTATCTGGCAGCACATCGGCGAAACACGTGGCCGTCACGACTTCCGTCATTTCCTTCAGTCCATGTCAATCTCGACGGACTGACCAACGGAGGAGCTTCTTCGAGCCACTCTTGACCAACTTATACTTGAAAAACTACACTCGTCCCAGCTTACCCCTTCCTTCAAACACCTCTCTGCGACACTTTCTTCAAGCTTCACCTTTGCTGTTGTCTATTTCCACCCGTTTAGCCTATAACCAACCCCTCCTCCCCACCCTCAGCCGACCTTTTATTTCCCCCTGATTCCACCCTTCCTGCGTAACCCGCTTCATTACACCTGGGAATCGCGCCACCATAGCAAGTACTGGCCGACAGCTCTTTTTGTTTGTTTGTTTGTTTTCTTCCTAATTTCCATTAACACCTATGGAAGTTCACCCTTCCCTGTACTGGCTTACTTTCCCTCCTTGCTATCCGTCTTCCCCTCCCCACTATCCGTCTTCCCTCCCCCGTTTCTGTCTTCCCCTCTCCCCTGTCTGTCTTCCCTAGCCTCTATCCGACTTATCTCCCCTCTTTTCGTCTTCACCTCCCCCTTATCCGTCTTCGCTTCCCCTTAACCGTCTTCCGTTCCCCCTATCTGTCTTCGCCCCCCCCTATCCGTCTTCCCCTCCCCCCTATCCGTCTATCCTCCTCCCTATCCGTCTATCCCTCCCCCATATCTGTCTTTCCCTCCCTCTATCCGTCTTCCCTATCCGTTCTCCGCTCCCCCCTATCTGTGTTCCGTTCCTCTTTTTCTTCTTCCCCTTCCCCATCCCCTACATACACACATGGCCGACACACACCTCCTCTTCCTCCTCCTCGTGGCCCCTGCCTCCCTCCCCTCACCACTCTCCTTAATCCCACCTGCCCTCCCGGTCCCCTTCCCCTTTTTCTCCTCATCCCATCCCCCCCATGCCCCCAGGGACTCTCTTCCTCAAGCTCTGCGCCTTCCTCTGGTCGCACCTCTCGCCCTACATCACCCCATCCTCACGCTCTTGCTGCTCCGCTCTCCCCTGGCTGCTCCCTCCGCGCGCCGATTCCCCCTCGCGCTGTTTCCCCCCATCCCCCCAGGGACTCTCTTCCTCAAGCTCTGCGCCTTCCTCTGGGCGCACCTCTCGCCCTACCTCACGCCAGCCGTCGCGCCCTTCCTCCCGGCGGGGCAGCAGCAGTGGGCGGCGCGGTGGTGCAAGCCGTTCTCATGGATCCCTGCTCACAGCACGCCCTTATGGCCGTCACCCTCCTCCCTTTCCTCATCCTTGCAGCCCTCACCTCCCTTCCCGCACCACTCCCCTTACTCCCACCCACCTTCCCCTTCCCCCCTGCTTCCCTCCCTTCCACCCCCCTCCACTTCCCCTCCTCCCCATGCCCCCAGGGACTCTTTTTCTCAAGGTCTGCGCCTTCGTCTGGGCGCACCTCTCGCCTTACATCATGCCAGCCGTCGCGCCCTTCCTCCCGGCGTGGCAGCAGCAGTGGGCGACAGTGCAAGCCGTGCTCATGGACCCCTGCTCGCAGCATGCCCTGATGGCCGACACGCACCTCATCTTCCTCCTCCTAGTCGCCCTCGCCTCCCTCGTCCGCGCCCTACAACCTGCCCCCCGCCTCGGCCCCGGCGTCACACCCGAGCAGCTGCAGCAGCAGCACTGGCTGCACCACCGGCGCCACGTACGCGTTTTAGAGGGGTCTCTGTACACGGTTACAGTGGTGCTGACGATGCTGGTGGGGCTGGCGAATCTGGTGGTTTCCCTGTGGTATGTCTGGCCGGGGTGGCGGCCGGAATGGTCTGACTGTCCCATATTCGAAGACCTGCTGCCGATCGTGCAGTGTGTGGCGTGGTTCGGCATGTCCTGGTCGGTCATGGAGGAGAAAAGACAAGGTGCCACGTGGCACTTCTTCACTCTCCGCCTCTGGTGGACCTCGGTATTCGTCCTGAATTCCTGGAGCGTGATCTACTCACTCGTGCAGATGCACAAGGGAGTGCCGCTCTCAGTAGACGCAGCCCTTGGGATCATCGCCTGGCCCATTTCCGCCTTTCTTTTCGCAGTTGCTTGCCAAAAACCGCCGCCCGTTCACCGCCCGAACGAACCCCTGACTGAATCTCTTCTTTCTGGGCTGCCCGGAGTGGCAGACCAGCCGACTGACCCGGGGGTCACCCCCTGGGAGCGGGCAGGCTGGTGGAACGTTCTCACCTTCCAGTGGATCAACCCGCTGCTCGCCAAGGGGCACCAGAAACCTTTAGACCTGCCCGACATTCCGTTCCTAGCAGACTGGGACACGGCGGATGCTGCCCGAGAAGCTTTCTACCGCACGTGGGATCGAATCCGGCTCTACACTCCGCTCCAACAACCGTCCATCACGTGGACTCTATGGCTCACCTACTGGCGAAAGTTCCTGGCAATTGCGTTCTGGGCAGGGCTGGAGACGCTGCTACTGTACATAGGCCCTTCGCTGCTGGCGGAATTCGTGAGGGTGGTTGGGGGAGACGTGCCTGTGCTGACTTTTGACAGAGGGGGCGCTGCTGGTGTTTGTGCTGCTGGGGTTGCTGGTGATGCTGGTGATGCTGGTGCTGGTGGTGGCAGCTGCAGCAGTAGCTCGGGCAGCTGGCATGTTGATCTGGCTGGGCCGTTAGCAGCTCTGGGAACGAGCCTGACAGGGGCTTTTGGCTTGACGGGATTGTTTGGCTCTGCTGCTTCTGCCACTGCTTCTGCTGCTACCGCCAACCTCACTGCCACTGCCCAAACCATCGCCTCCGCCACCTCTGCTACGGCGGTTGCTGCTGCCTCTTCTGCTGCAGCCTTCGTCACCCAAACAGCAGCAACCGCAGCAGCAGCAGCGACAGTCCCAGCAGCCGCAGCAGCAGCAGCAGCGGCAGCATCAGCAGCAGCAGCAGCATCAATAGCAGCAGCAGCACCAGCCCCAAGCCCAGGCGCGCCCCCAGACGACCCATGGGCGCAGTGGGAGGGGTACTGGCTGTGCGGGGTGCTGCTGGGGTGCAAGCTGATAGAGACAGTCGCTCAGCACCAGTTCTACTTTCGCTCGGACATACTCGGGATGAACGTGCGGGCGGCGCTCACAGGGCACGTGTTTGACAAGGCGCTCAGGCTGAGCAACGCTGCGCGCCACACGCACCCCATGGGCGAGATTGTTAACTACATGGCGCTGGATGTGCAGGTGAGGGGATCGGTCTAGGTTATAAGGTTTAGGGGTTGGGGTTGGGCGTACTGGCTGTGCGGGGTGCTGCTGGGGTGCAAGCTGGTAGAGACGGTGGCTCAGCACCAGTTTTGCTTCCGCCCTGACATTCTGGGCATGAATGTCAGGGTGACGCTCACAGGCCACATGTTTGATGCGGACACAACTTATGGGGGAGATTGTCAATTACATGGCACTGGATGTGCAGGTGAGGGGATGGGTGTTGGTTTTTGGGGTTTGGGTGTAGCTGTGTGGTTAATGTGCTGCTGGGGTGCTGCTGGGGTGCAAGCTAGTGGAGACGGCTGCACAGCACCAGTTCTAGTTCCGCACAGAAATCCTTGGGATGGCGCTCAGCCTCACAGATCACGTGTTTGACAAGGCGCTCAGGTTAAGCAATGCTGCAAGGCAAGGCACACGCACCCCATGGGGGAGATGGCGCTGAATGTGGGGGAGGGTTTTTCATGTTTGCCTGTTGGGGGTCCGTAAGGGCTTTTCATGTTGTGGCGAGAAACAAGCCCAGTTGTGGCGAGAGACAAACCCACCAGCACCACCACTACTGATGCCAAGGCAGGTGGTGATAAGGCAGGTGGTGAGAAGTCAGGTGGTGAGATGAGAAATTAGGTGGTGAGAAGGCAGGTGGTGAGGAGAAGGCAGGTGGTGAGAGGGCAGGTCGTGAGAAGGCAGGTGGTGAGAAGACAGGTGGTGAGAAGGCAGGCGGTGAGAAGGCAGGCGGTGAGAAGGCAGGTGGTGAGAAGGCAGGTGGTGAGAAGGCAGGTGGTGAGAAGGCAGGTGGTGAGAAGGCAGGTGGTGAGAAGGCAGGTGGTGAGAAGGCAGGTGGTGAGAAGGCAGGTGGTCAGAAGGCAGGTGGCTTGAAGGCAGGTGGTCAGAAGGTAGGTGGTGAGAAGGCTGCCCTCTCACCACCTGCCTTCTCACCACCTGCCCTCTCACCACCTGCCCTCTCACCATCTGCCTTATCTTCACCTGCCTTATCACCACCTGCCTTGGCATCAATAGTGGTGGTGCTGGTGGGCTTGTCTCTCGCCACAACTGGTGCCACCTTGCTTTTCATGTTTACAATTACAACAGGGGGACCGTAAGGGCTTTTCATGTTTGCCTGTTGGGAGGCAAGGGGGTACTGGGTGTGCGGCGTGCTGCTAGGAGGCAAGCTGGCGGAGATGGCGGCGAGAGAAGGGAAGCTCTGCGTGTGCGATGGGAGTGATGCTCCTGTGTACCGAGCTCGTGGTTTGAGGCGTCTCAAAGCTGCGTGTATGTGTGGGTGATAGCATCTGCGTACTGAGCTCGTGTGGTGGCAGTGAAGTTCCTTCTTTCTCAAGCCTTTCTCGTCCCTCCCTTCTTCCCTTCCCCCCCCTCTTCCCAGCGAGTGGCGGACAACCCCACACCCTCGCACCCGTCCCCATTTCTCTTCTTAACCCCAGCGAGTAGCGGACTTGATGTTTCAGCCGAACAACCTGTGGACGCCGCCCCTTCAGATCGTGCTCGCGCTGCTGCTGCTGCACGCCACCGTGGGCCCCGCAGGCACGCTGGCAGGCGTGGCAACCATGGTGCTGATGGTGTGGGCTCAGATGCTGGTGGCCATGTGGGGTGGGGTGGAGTGGAGTGGGGTGGGTTGGATGGGTCCAGCTCAAGCACCACAGCAGGCAGACAGGCTGGCGAGAGAGGGAGTTCATTTCATAGTCTGTTAACTCAACCAGTCTCTGCTCTTTTCCTCCCCCACCCACTTTCTCCTACTCTCCCCTCCTCCCCTTCCCCCAGAGAGTAGCTGACATGATGTTTCAGCTGAACAACCTCTGGACGCTGCCTCTGCAAATCCTCCTCGCGCTGCTGCTGCTGCACGCCACTGTGGGCCCCGCCGGCACGCTGGCAGGCGTGGCGACCATGGTGCTCATGATGTGGGCACAGCTGCTGGTGGCGGGGCAGGCGAGGGAGTGCCAGAAGGAACGCACGGCCTGGCAGGACTTGAGACTCAAGGCCACCACAGAGGCACTCAACAACATGAAGGTGTGGTGCGGAAAATAGTGGGTAGAGAGTGGATAGACGAGAGAGAGAGGAGAGGGGTTGACTGATGATTGTGGACGAAGAGAGTGGTTATAGGAGGGGGAGAACATGATCTTGACTCATGACAACCGTCCAGGTTGAAAGTTGCACACTTCCCTCTTTCCTCTCCTCCCCTCTCCACACACACACACACGTGGGAAGGGCGGGTTAAATCGGGATGAGGACTTTTTTTAGGCGCCTAAAAAATCAGGCTGAGGGAGCTGCATTTTCTCCGCCTTTCCCCTCCACACACCTCTCCCGACCCCTTCTTGCTTCCCAGGTGATAAAGCTGCATGCGTGGGAGGGACGGTTCCTGGAGCAGATAGAGGACTATCGGGCAGAGGAGGCGGCATGGCTAGCGCGCTACAACTACCTCATGGCGGCCAACATTGTCTTCCTCTGGATGTCTCCTCTCCTCGTCGCCTCCGCCACCTTCGCTGCCTGCGTGGCCTTTGAAGAACCCCTCTCTGCTGCCTCAATCTTCACTGCCATCGCCACCTTCCGGATCCTCCAGGTGGGTCGGTGGGGTTTGAGTTGAGTCAAAATTGTTTCCTCGTCGCCTCCGCCACCTTCGCTGCCTGCGTGGCCTTCGAAGAACCCCTCTCTGCTGCCTCAATCTTCACTGCCATCGCCACCTTCCGGATCCTCCAGGTGGGTCGGTGGGGTTTGAGTTGAGTCAAAATTGTTTCCTCGTCGCCTCCGCCACCTTCGCTGCCTGCGTGGCCTTCGAAGAACCCCTCTCTGCTGCCTCAATCTTCACTGCCATCGCCACCTTCCGGATCCTCCAGGTGGGTCGGTGGGGTTTGAGTTGAGTCAAAATTGTTTCCTCGTCGCCTCCGCCACCTTCGCTGCCTGCGTGGCCTTCGAAGAACCCCTCTCTGCTGCCTCAATCTTCACTGCCATCGCCACCTTCCGGATCCTCCAGGTGGGTCGGTGGGGTTTGAGTTGAGTCAAAATTGTTTCCTCGTCGCCTCCGCCACCTTCGCTGCCTGCGTGGCCTTCGAAGAACCCCTCTCTGCTGCCTCAATCTTCACTGCCATCGCCACCTTCCGGATCCTCCAGGTGGGTCGGTGGGGTTTGAGTTGAGTCAAAATTGTTTCCTCGTCGCCTCCGCCACCTTCGCTGCCTGCGTGGCCTTTGAAGAACCCCTCTCTGCTGCCTCAATCTTCACTGCCATCGCCACCTTCCGGATCCTCCAGGTGGGTCGGTGGGGTTTGAGTTGAGTCAAAATTGTTTCCTCGTCGCCTCCGCCACCTTCGCTGCCTGCGTGGCCTTCGAAGAACCCCTCTCTGCTGCCTCAATCTTCACTGCCATCGCCACCTTCCGGATCCTCCAGGTGGGTCGGTGGGGTTTGAGTTGAGTCAAAATTGTTTCCTCGTCGCCTCCGCCACCTTCGCTGCCTGCGTGGCCTTCGAAGAACCCCTCTCTGCTGCCTCAATCTTCACTGCCATCGCCACCTTCCGGATCCTCCAGGTGGGTCGGTGGGGTTTGAGTTGAGTCAAAATTGTTTCCTCGTCGCCTCCGCCACCTTCGCTGCCTGCGTGGCCTTCGAAGAACCCCTCTCTGCTGCCTCAATCTTCACTGCCATCGCCACCTTCCGGATCCTCCAGGTGGGTCGGTGGGGTTTGAGTTGAGTCAAAATTGTTTCCTCGTCGCCTCCGCCACCTTCGCTGCCTGCGTGGCCTTCGAAGAACCCCTGTCTGCTGCCTCAATCTTCACTGCCATCGCCACCTTCCGGATCCTCCAGGTGGGTGGGAATCGTATGTTTTTTCATGTGAGTTTGCCCTTTCTGCGCATGCCATAGCCCAGGTAGGCCGTAGGCCCTAGGTGAGTGCAGCCTGCATGCATGGCTGGCGCGCGGCAACCACCTCATGGCGGCCAACATCGTGCTCCTCTGGATGTCGGGGAGGGAGGGAGGTCTCTCTATGAGGAAGGTGGCCTTTAGGAGAGCAGCGTCAGACAGTGGGGTGCCTAGGTTCCTATCTTTGTCCCTGTTGTCTGCCGCTGCTCTCTGTTCGCACTTATTTTCTGCGTAGCTCTTCCCTTTCACACCTTATCCTGTATTCCACCTTCCCTTCCATTCCACTGCCTGCTATCTACTTCATCTCATGCTCCCACACTCATCTCCTCCCACTCCCCTCCTTGCTCCTGCCTCCCTTCCTTTCCCCACTCTTTTCCACCCCTCTGCCTCACAGGAGCCCCTCCGCTCGTTCCCAGATGTCCTCTCCTCCATCTCTCAAGCACTCGTGTCTCTTGACCGCCTCGCCAGGTAAGGCTGTGCCTCCAGACTGCTTAATTTCCTGCTCGCTGGGTATGGGGCGAGCTGTCTTACAGTTGCGAACCCCAGGTATTCGCAATGGTGGCATTGCTACACATCTGTTCTCCAGAAGACTGCCAGAATGTTCCTCAGCAGGGCTGTTCCTCAGCAGGGCTGTTCCTCAGCAGGGCAGTTCCCCTGCTGGGCTGTTCCCCTGCTGGGCTGCTCCTTGCTCCATGCTCCCTGACCCCTCCCCCTCCATATCGCCCTCTCCATTCCCCATTCCCATTCCCATTCATCCAGGTACCAGTCAGCGCAGGAGATCGAGGTCACAGCAGTCTCATGGCTCTCCCCAGAGGACACAGAGGACGCTGTTTTCGTCGATGGGGGCGCCTTCACCTGGGACCTGCCCCCGCCGCACCTGCAGCACATGCACCGCCCCACACTGCGGGGCATTGGCATGCAGATAGGCCGCGGAGCAAGAGTGGCCATCTGTGGGCCTGTTGGGTCGGGCAAGTCCAGCCTTCTGAGCTGCATCCTGGGAGAGATGCACAAGCTGTCGGGCATTGTGAGTAGAGTAGAGTGTGCGATCAGGAACTGGGGGGTATGTATGACTAAGGGTGGCTACCTGTGGGCCCGTGGGGTCGGGCATGTCGAGCCTACTCAGCTGCATCCTGGGGGAGATGCACAAGCTGTCCGGCATTGTGAGTAAAGAGTACGGTTGGGGATTGTGAGTGCAATCAAGCTGCAATTGGGTTTGGATGAAAAATGAAGTGGGCCGTCCAGCAATGGTCAATCTGCTCACTTGCTCGCTCGGGCAAGTCGAGTCTGCTCAGCTGCATCCTGGGGGAGATGCACAAGCTGTCCGGCATTGTGAGTAGAGTGCGAGGGATTGGGTGGCATGGCTGGGTTTGGATTGGACATGACCATGGGGTGGATGGATGAAGGTGGAGTGCTTTTACATGGGACCTGCCCCCTCCGCACCTGCAGCAGCACATGCACCGCCCTGGCATGCAGATTGGCAGGGGAGCGAGAGTGGCTATCTGTGGGCCTGTGGGGTTGGGCAAGTTGAGTCTTCAGAGCTGCATTTTGCGGGAGATGCACGAGCTGTCCGGCATTGTGTGTGAGTCGAGTGCGACCTGGTATTGTGGATCCGAACCACCAATGAAGACAATCTCATTACCCCTTCGGCCTCTAGATGAACTACAGGTTAACTCATGACTGTCTCTTGCACCCCCTCTCTCCCTCATCCTCTCACTCAATCCCTCTCAGCTTATCCCTCCCGGGCAGGTGCAAGTGGCGGGCACCATAGCACACGTGCCGCAGACCCCCTGGATTCAGAACGGCACCATCCGGGACAACGTCACCTTCGGCCTTCATAGCAGATGAATCTCCAAGCAACTCAAGAGTCTCCCTCTCACTCTCTCACACCCTCACTCCTTCACCCCCTCACTCCCTCACTCATTCAATTTCTCAACCCCTCACTCCCTCCCGGCCTCTTTCCGGCAGGTGCAAGTGGCGGGCACCATAGCACACGTGCCACAGACCCCTTGGATTCAGAATGGCACCATCCGGGACAACGTCACCTTTGGCCTGCAGATGAACCGCGCCCTCTATGAGCGCGTGCTGCGCGTCTGCGCCCTCGCTGCTGACCTGGCAGGTGCGTCAGTGCCCTCACTGCTGACCTGGCAGGTGCGTCAGTGCCCTCACTGCTGACCTGGCAGTTGTGTGAACGCCCCCTCACTGATGACTTTATTTCCAGGTCAGAATGCGTGTTTTTTTCTGAGCTGCACCCAAGTTTCATGCACAATTGGTGCTCATTTTCACAACCCACCTGGGATCCCCACCTCTGTGCTGGCATCTGACGTGGCAGTGCTGCCACGTGGCGACGAGACGGAGATCGGGGAGCGGGGGATCAACCTATCGGGCGGGCAGAAGCAGCGCATACAGGTGGCGAGGGCCGTGTACCACGACGCTGACATCTATCTGCTCGACGACCCCTTCTCCAGTGTTGACACTGCAACCGGCTCCTTGATATTTGATGTGAGTGAGTTCTCACAGTCTTCCATCATCTCATCTCATACAGTGTATTACAGTTAAGGTGAGCGTGCCCATTAAGGTGCATTGCAGAAGCAGCGCATCCAGGTGGCGAGGGTCGTGTTTCATGGTAGTATTGGCGAGGGGAGTGGGGGATCAACCTGTCAGGTGGCGAGGGCCGTGTTTCATGGTAGTATTGGCGAGGGGAGTGGGGGATCAACCTGTCAGGTGGCGAGGGCCGTGTTTCATGGTAGTATTGGCGAGGGGAGTGGGGGATCAACCTGTCAGGTGGCGAGGGCCGTGTTTCATGGTAGTATTGGCGAGGGGAGTGGGGGATCAACCTGTCAGGTGGCGAGGGCCGTGTTTCATGGTAGTATTGGCGAGGGGAGTGGGGGATCAACCTGTCAGGTGGCGAGGGCCGTGTTTCATGGTAGTATTGGCGAGGGGAGTGGGGGATCAACCTGTCAGGTGGCGAGGGCCGTGTTTCATGGTAGTATTGGCGAGGGGAGTGGGGGATCAACCTGTCAGGTGGCGAGGGCCGTGTTTCATGGTAGTATTGGCGATGGGAGTGGGGGATCAACCTGTCAGGTGGCGAGGGCCGTGTTTCATGGTAGTATTGGCGAGGGGAGTGGGGGATCAACCTGTCAGGTGGCGAGGGCTGTGTTTCATGGTAGTATTGGCGAGGGGAGTGGGGGATCAACCTGTCAGGTGGCGAGGGCCGTGTTTCATGGTAGTATTGGCGAGGGGAGTGGGGGATCAACCTGTCAGGTGGCGAGGGCCGTGTTTCATGGTAGTATTGGCGAGGGGAGTGGGGGATCAACCTGTCAGGTGGCGAGGGCCGTGTTTCATGGTAGTATTGGCGAGGGGAGTGGGGGATCAACCTGTCAGGTGGCGAGGGCCGTGTTTCATGGTAGTATTGGCGAGGGGAGTGGGGGATCAACCTGTCAGGTGGCGAGGGCCGTGTTTCATGGTAGTATTGGCGAGGGGAGTGGGGGATCAACCTGTCAGGTGGCGAGGGCCGTGTTTCATGGTAGTATTGGCGAGGGGAGTGGGGGATCAACCTGTCAGGTGGCGAGGGCCGTGTTTCATGGTAGTATTGGCGAGGGGAGTGGGGGATCAACCTGTCAGGTGGCGAGGGCCGTGTTTCATGGTAGTATTGGCGAGGGGAGTGGGGGATCAACCTGTCAGGTGGCGAGGGCCGTGTTTCATGGTAGTATTGGCGAGGGGAGTGGGGGATCAACCTGTCAGGTGGCGAGGGCCGTGTTTCATGGTAGTATTGGCGAGGGGAGTGGGGGATCAACCTGTCAGGTGGCGAGGGCCGTGTTTCATGGTAGTATTGGCGAGGGGAGTGGGGGATCAACCTGTCAGGTGGCGAGGGCCGTGTTTCATGGTAGTATTGGCGAGGGGAGTGGGGGATCAACCTGTCAGGTGGCGAGGGCCGTGTTTGATGGTAGTATTGGCGATGGGAGTGGGGGATCAACCTGTCAGGTGGCGAGGGCCGTGTTTCATGGTAGTATTGGCGAGGGGAGTGGGGGATCAACCTGTCAGGTGGCGAGGGCCGTGTTTCATGGTAGTATTGGCGAGGGGAGTGGGGGATCAACCTGTCAGGTGGCGAGGGCTGTGTTTCATGGTAGTATTGGCGAGGGGAGTGGGGGATCAACCTGTCAGGTGGCGAGGGCCGTGTTTCATGGTAGTATTGGCGAGGGGAGTGGGGGATCAACCTGTCAGGTGGCGAGGGCCGTGTTTCATGGTAGTATTGGCGAGGGGAGTGGGGGATCAACCTGTCAGGTGGCGAGGGCCGTGTTTCATGGTAGTATTGGCGAGGGGAGTGGGGGATCAACCTGTCAGGTGGCGTGTTTCATGGTAGTATTGGCGAGGGGAGTGGGGGATCAACCTGTCAGGTGGCGAGGGCCGTGTTTCATGGTAGTATTGGCGAGGGGAGTGGGGGATCAACCTGTCAGGTGGCGAGGGCCGTGTTTCATGGTAGTATTGGCGAGGGGAGTGGGGGATCAACCTGTCAGGTGGCGAGGGCCGTGTTTCATGGTAGTATTGGCGAGGGGAGTGGGGGATCAACCTGTCAGGTGGCGAGGGCCGTGTTTCATGGTAGTATTGGCGAGGGGAGTGGGGGATCAACCTGTCAGGTGGCGAGGGCCGTGTTTCATGGTAGTATTGGCGAGGGGAGTGGGGGATCAACCTGTCAGGTGGCGAGGGCCGTGTTTGATGGTAGTATTGGCGATGGGAGTGGGGGATCAACCTGTCAGGTGGCGAGGGCCGTGTTTCATGGTAGTATTGGCGAGGGGAGTGGGGGATCAACCTGTCAGGTGGCGAGGGCCGTGTTTCATGGTAGTATTGGCGAGGGGAGTGGGGGATCAACCTGTCAGGTGGCGAGGGCCGTGTTTGATGGTAGTATTGGCGAGGGGAGTGGGGGATCAACCTGTCAGGTGGCGAGGGCCGTGTTTCATGGTAGTATTGGCGAGGGGAGTGGGGGATCAACCTGTCAGGTGGCGAGGGCCGTGTTTCATGGTAGTATTGGCGAGGGGAGTGGGGGATCAACCTGTCAGGTGGCGAGGGCCGTGTTTCATGGTAGTATTGGCGAGGGGAGTGGGGGATCAACCTGTCAGGTGGCGAGGGCCGTGTTTCATGGTAGTATTGGCGAGGGGAGTGGGGGATCAACCTGTCAGGTGGCGAGGGCCGTGTTTCATGGTAGTATTGGCGATGGGAGTGGGGGATCAACCTGTCAGGTGGCGAGGGCCGTGTTTCATGGTAGTATTGGCGAGGGGAGTGGGGGATCAACCTGTCAGGTGGCGAGGGCCGTGTTTCATGGTAGTATTGGCGAGGGGAGTGGGGGATCAACCTGTCAGGTGGCGAGGGCCGTGTTTCATGGTAGTATTGGCGAGGGGAGTGGGGGATCAACCTGTCAGGTGGCGAGGGCCGTGTTTCATGGTAGTATTGGCGAGGGGAGTGGGGGATCAACCTGTCAGGTGGCGAGGGCCGTGTTTCATGGTAGTATTGGCGAGGGGAGTGGGGGATCAACCTGTCAGGTGGCGAGGGCCGTGTTTCATGGTAGTATTGGCGAGGGGAGTGGGGGATCAACCTGTCAGGTGGCGAGGGCCGTGTTTGATGGTAGTATTGGCGAGGGGAGTGGGGGATCAACCTGTCAGGTGGCGAGGGCCATGTTTCATGGTAGTATTGGCGAGGGGAGTGGGGGATCAACCTGTCAGGTGGCGAGGGCCGTGTTTCATGGTAGTATTGGCGAGGGGAGTGGGGGATCAACCTGTCAGGTGGCGAGGGCCGTGTTTCATGGTAGTATTGGCGAGGGGAGTGGGGGATCAACCTGTCAGGTGGCGAGGGCCGTGTTTCATGGTAGTATTGGCGAGGGGAGTGGGGGATCAACCTGTCAGGTGGCGAGGGCCGTGTTTCATGGTAGTATTGGCGAGGGGAGTGGGGGATCAACCTGTCAGGTGGCGAGGGCCGTGTTTCATGGTAGTATTGGCGAGGGGAGTGGGGGATCAACCTGTCAGGTGGCGAGGGCCGTGTTTCATGGTAGTATTGGCGAGGGGAGTGGGGGATCAACCTGTCAGGTGGCGAGGGCCGTGTTTCATGGTAGTATTGGCGAGGGGAGTGGGGGATCAACCTGTCAGGTGGCGAGGGCCGTGTTTCATGGTAGTATTGGCGAGGGGAGTGGGGGATCAACCTGTCAGGTGGCGAGGGCCGTGTTTCATGGTAGTATTGGCGAGGGGAGTGGGGGATCAACCTGTCAGGTGGCGAGGGCCGTGTTTCATGGTAGTATTGGCGAGGGGAGTGGGGGATCAACCTGTCAGGTGGCGAGGGCCGTGTTTCATGGTAGTATTGGCGAGGGGAGTGGGGGATCAACCTGTCAGGTGGCGAGGGCCGTGTTTCATGGTAGTATTGGCGAGGGGAGTGGGGGATCAACCTGTCAGGTGGCGAGGGCCGTGTTTCATGGTAGTATTGGCGAGGGGAGTGGGGGATCAACCTGTCAGGTGGCGAGGGCCGTGTTTCATGGTAGTATTGGCGAGGGGAGTGGGGGATCAACCTGTCAGGTGGCGAGGGCCGTGTTTGATGGTAGTATTGGCGAGGGGAGTGGGGGATCAACCTGTCAGGTGGCGAGGGCCGTGTTTCATGGTAGTATTGGCGAGGGGAGTGGGGGATCAACCTGTCAGGTGGCGAGGGCCGTGTTTCATGGTAGTATTGGCGAGGGGAGTGGGGGATCAACCTGTCAGGTGGCGAGGGCCGTGTTTCATGGTAGTATTGGCGAGGGGAGTGGGGGATCAACCTGTCAGGTGGCGAGGGCCGTGTTTCATGGTAGTATTGGCGAGGGGAGTGGGGGATCAACCTGTCAGGTGGCGAGGGCCGTGTTTCATGGTAGTATTGGCGATGGGAGTGGGGGATCAACCTGTCAGGTGGCGAGGGCCGTGTTTGATGGTAGTATTGGCGATGGGAGTGGGGGATCAACCTGTCAGGTGGCGAGGGCCGTGTTTCATGGTAGTATTGGCGAGGGGAGTGGGGGATCAACCTGTCAGGTGGCGAGGGCCGTGTTTCATGGTAGTATTGGCGAGGGGAGTGGGGGATCAACCTGTCAGGTGGCGAGGGCCGTGTTTGATGGTAGTATTGGCGAGGGGAGTGGGGGATCAACCTGTCAGGTGGCGAGGGCCGTGTTTCATGGTAGTATTGGCGAGGGGAGTGGGGGATCAACCTGTCAGGTGGCGAGGGCCGTGTTTCATGGTAGTATTGGCGAGGGGAGTGGGGGATCAACCTGTCAGGTGGCGAGGGCCGTGTTTCATGGTAGTATTGGCGAGGGGAGTGGGGGATCAACCTGTCAGGTGGCGAGGGCCGTGTTTCATGGTAGTATTGGCGATGGGAGTGGGGGATCAACCTGTCAGGTGGCGAGGGCCGTGTTTCATGGTAGTATTGGCGAGGGGAGTGGGGGATCAACCTGTCAGGTGGCGAGGGCCGTGTTTCATGGTAGTATTGGCGAGGGGAGTGGGGGATCAACCTGTCAGGTGGCGAGGGCCGTGTTTCATGGTAGTATTGGCGAGGGGAGTGGGGGATCAACCTGTCAGGTGGCGAGGGCCGTGTTTCATGGTAGTATTGGCGAGGGGAGTGGGGGATCAACCTGTCAGGTGGCGAGGGCCGTGTTTCATGGTAGTATTGGCGAGGGGAGTGGGGGATCAACCTGTCAGGTGGCGAGGGCCGTGTTTCATGGTAGTATTGGCGAGGGGAGTGGGGGATCAACCTGTCAGGTGGCGAGGGCCGTGTTTCATGGTAGTATTGGCGAGGGGAGTGGGGGATCAACCTGTCAGGTGGCGAGGGCCGTGTTTCATGGTAGTATTGGCGAGGGGAGTGGGGGATCAACCTGTCAGGTGGCGAGGGCCGTGTTTCATGGTAGTATTGGCGAGGGGAGTGGGGGATCAACCTGTCAGGTGGCGAGGGCCGTGTTTCATGGTAGTATTGGCGAGGGGAGTGGGGGATCAACCTGTCAGGTGGCGAGGGCCGTGTTTCATGGTAGTATTGGCGAGGGGAGTGGGGGATCAACCTGTCAGGTGGCGAGGGCCGTGTTTGATGGTAGTATTGGCGAGGGGAGTGGGGGATCAACCTGTCAGGTGGCGAGGGCCGTGTTTCATGGTAGTATTGGCGAGGGGAGTGGGGGATCAACCTGTCAGGTGGCGAGGGCCGTGTTTCATGGTAGTATTGGCGAGGGGAGTGGGGGATCAACCTGTCAGGTGGCGAGGGCCGTGTTTCATGGTAGTATTGGCGAGGGGAGTGGGGGATCAACCTATCAGGTGGCGAGGGCCGTGTTTCATGGTAGTATTGGCGAGGGGAGTGGGGGATCAACCTGTCAGGTGGCGAGGGCCGTGTTTCATGGTAGAATTGGCGAGGGGAGTGGGGGATCAACCTGTCAGGTGGCGAGGGCCGTGTTTCATGGTAGTATTGGCGAGGGGAGTGGGGGATCAACCTGTCAGGTGGCGAGGGCCGTGTTTCATGGTAGTATTGGCGAGGGGAGTGGGGGATCAACCTGTCAGGTGGCGAGGGCCGTGTTTCATGGTAGTATTGGCGATGGGAGTGGGGGATCAACCTGTCAGGTGGCGAGGGCCGTGTTTCATGGTAGTATTGGCGAGGGGAGTGGGGGATCAACCTGTCAGGTGGCGAGGGCCGTGTTTCATGGTAGTATTGGCGAGGGGAGTGGGGGATCAACCTGTCAGGTGGCGAGGGCCGTGTTTCATGGTAGTATTGGCGAGGGGAGTGGGGGATCAACCTGTCAGGTGGCGAGGGCCGTGTACCACGATGCTGACATCTACCTCCTCGATGACCGCTTCTCCAGCGTTAACACCGCCGCCGGTTCATGGTCTTTGATGTGAGCCCTTTGGTTTTAGGTCGGTGCCATCAATGCATGCTTGGGGCTCGTCTGTGTGCCTTGATGGCACCGAGCGTGTCCACTGCCTCCACCACCAGGAGCGGTCCACTGCCTCCACCACCAGGAGCGGTCCACTGCCTCCACCACCAGGAGCGGTCCACTGCCTCCACCACCAGGAGCGTGTGCCAGTCCTGGTGGGTAGCCTGACAATCAATTGGAGTTTGAATCAAACCCACTCACCACTCTCTCTCTCCCTGTTCCTTCTCCTCACCTGTGTCCACTATTCCCCACTACCAGGAGTGTGTGTTGGGTCTGCTGGCTTTTGAGGCCTCAAAAGTCGACTTTTGAGGCGCCTCAAGAATCAAACCCACTTACCACTCTCTCTCCCTGTTCCTTCTCCTCACCTGTGTCCACTATTCCCCACTACCAGGAGTGTGTGCTGGGTCTGCTGGGGGCAAAGACGGTTCTCTTCGTGACTAATCAGCTTGAGTTCCTGCCCGCTGCTGACCTCATCCTGGTGCGTGCTGATGTCATGCTGGTGCGTGATGATGTCATGCCGGTGCGTGATGATGTCATGCTGGTGCGTGATGATGTCACCATGCTGGCAGGGAACATTTGTGGTGGTATTCTCACGTTTATGCTTCACTTCACTTCCTTTTATCTCGGATCCTATCCACCCTCGCTTGGTGCACTCACCACAATCCACCGCATGTGGCCACACTTCCTCTTCCTCCCTCCCACCAGGTGATGCGCGATGGGGAGATAGTGCAGGCAGGGCAGTACGAGGAGCTACTGCGGGCGGGCACAGACTTCTCCCTCCTGCTCGACTCTTCCATCCTCCCGAACCCTCCCCCTCTCCCCGCTACCTCCCCCAACCCCCACCAGGTGATGTGCGATGGGGAGATAGTGCAGGCAGGGCAGTACGAGGAGCTCCAGCGGGCGGGCACAGGCTTCTCCCTCCTGCTGGAATCCCCCCCCCCCCCACCCTCTCACCATCCCCCACACCCACCCGCCCCCATTCTCCCCCACAGGTGATGCGGGACGGGGAGATAGTCCAGGCGGGGCAGTATGAGGAGCTGCAGCGCGCAGGCACAGACTTCTCCCTCCTGCTGGACGCCCACAACGACGCCATGGGCTCCATGGACCTCCCCCCTCCCAACCCCTTCCAACCCTCCCACACCTCCCACCACCACCTGCAACCGCAACGCGCCCCTTCCCTCGGGAACATCCTGGCTGCCAACGGTGACGTGTTCTCGCGGTTTGACATGGACGATCAAGAGCTGGCAACACTGCTGCTGGGTCCCCAGGCCGGGCCTGATGGGCTCGGGCTAGCCTCGGGCGGAGGCTCGGGAGGGATGGGAGGCCCGGGGATGGGTGCGGGAGATGGTTTGGGTGGTGGGGCGAGTGGGGTTGCTGCAGATGGGTCGCTGGTGGGGGTGGTGGGCGGGGCGGGGGGGGTGGTGGTGGGGCCGATGGCAGCGGTGGCAGCAGCGGTGGCGAGTGGAGCGGAGGACAGGCAGTTTGGACGGGTGAATGCGGAGGTGTACCGGGCGTATCTCACGCGGGCGTATGGTGGATCCATGGTTCCCATCATTGTGGCTTCCCAGGTAGGTGCAAGGGAGTGCTTGCAGGGAGAAGAGGGGAGTTAGGAGTTGGCTCAAGTGGTGCCACAGGGGTGAATGGGGAGCAGAGGGCAGGTTGTTCGTTTGGGTGGGTGAATGCGGAGGTGTATCGTGCGTACCTTACGAGGGCGTATGGCAGATCCATGGTGCCCATCATTGTGGCTTCCCAGGTGCGTTCTTGCAGAGAGGGTTACTTTCGACCCAAGTGGCACCGCAGTGTGGTGGTGACACATTACCTGCCCAACTGGATCTCTTGCTCGCTTTTTTGTAGGTCGATTTTATCAATTCTAATATACGAACTACAGAGAAAAGTGGGCTGGCATTGACTCAAGAAGCACTGCCGTGCAGAGTGGTGTCGTTAACTGTCCACAGTCCAACTGGGTGTATGAACTGTCACTCCACTCCACTCCACTCCACCCCTCACCCATGTATGCGAGGAAGAGGGTGCCTTTGCCAACTTGGCACATGCACAGCTACCGCATGTCTGCAGGAAGATGTGGATTCTGCTTGCTGCGGTTCGAATGCACATGCACAGCTACCGCATGTCTGCACCCACACGCCTCATTTGCTGCTCCCAGAGACAAACGCAAAGCGGCCGTCTCCTTCTGTCTCCCCGCCCTTCTCCCCATCTTTCACCCTTCCCACCCAACCCCAACCCCTTCCCCCCTCTGTCCCGCCCTCTGTACCGCCACCCTCAGGTGCTTTTTCAGGTGCTTCAGATAGGCGCCAACTGGTGGCTAGCCCGAGAGGTCCAACCCCTGCATCCAGCAGTGCTCACCTGGCCGGACGTCCGTGCCTACGCCTCCCTCGCCATCGGCAGCGGCCTCTTCGTCGTCCTTCGTGCCTTCCTGTCGGTCCATGTGGGGCTGAGAACGGCTGATGGGTTCTTTCAGGACATGCTGCACGCTGTGTTCCGCGCTCCCATGGCCTTCTTTGACTCCACCCCCACTGGGAGGACCCTCGCCAGGGTGAGTCTTGTCCTGTTTGGAGCCAGCAGCCCGAAGCTTATGCTCTGGGTATGGGGGTCCGAATCCCCTTTTGCTCTCCAGGGTTTAGGGTTCACCCTGATCAGGCATCAGCCGAGCGGAACGCCCTGGACTTGCAGCTCTTTTTCCACCTATCTGTATCTCTCTCCATCCCTCACCACTCCCATAACGCTGCTCATTAGTGCACCAGAACGCCCTTGAGTTGCAAAATTCTCCAACACCTTTGTATCTCTCTCCATCCCTATCCACCACTTTCTTTCCCCATGCCAGGCATCAGCGGACCAGAAGGCGCTGGACTTTCAGATCTTCAACGCCTATACCTCTTTTCACCTCCCCCACCACTCTTTTTATCTTCAGGCATCAGCGGACCAGAACGCCCTTGACTTGCAGCTCTTCTTCAACTCCTTTGTATCCCTATCCACCATTAAATTTCTCTCCCCATCCCTCTGCACCACTCTCTTTCCATCAGGCATCAGCGGACCAGAACGCACTTGACTTGCAGCTCTTCTTCAACTTTATTGTATCTCTCCCAATCCCTCCCCACCACTTTCTTGCCATCTTACTGCCTGCCAGGCATCAGCGGACCAGTACGCCCTTGACTTGCAGCTCTTCTTCAACTCCTTTGTATCCCTATCCACCACTTTATCCACCACTATATTTCTCTCTCCACTCCACCCCTTCCCACCACTCTTTTATCTCCATGCATCAGCAGGCCAGAAAGCCCTTGATTTGCAGCTCTTCTTCGGCTTTGGCTCACTGCTCAACAACCTCGTGGTGCTCTCTTCAACCTATCTGTATCTCTCTCCATCCCTCTCCACCACTCTCTTACCATCAGGCATCAGCGGATCAGAACGCCCTTGACTTGCAGCTCTTTTTCAACTTTGGCTCCGTGCTCAACAACCTCGTGCAGCTTCTGGGAATCTTCCTCGTCACCTCTGCCGTCACCTGGCCGGTCATCGTCGTCCTCATCCCCCTCGCGCTGCTCTACGTGCCGCTGCAGGTGGGGTACAGTACGGTTGATATGTTAGGGTTGATATGTTGCTGCAGGTGGGGTAGGGTTGATTGACGTGCCCATGCACTCGTAGCGCGCACACAAGTGGTTATTTGTAGGGTCCTTCCATCTATGTGCCGCTGCAGGTGTGAGGTAAAGGCACTGATCCAGGTGAACTGTTAATGAGGTACCTGTTCGCGTGTTTTTGCTGACATACTGGCAGCATGCAGCGTGCTGTTGTTGCCATCTCTTTTATTCTCTTCTTAACTGCCACTGCCTTTGTTTAGGCGCCTCAAAAGTAATATCGTATTGCATGCCACAGCAACTAAATTATTCTCGTAACCCTTAGCCATACTCCTACCTAGGGGCATGAGCACAGAACCGAACCGTACCGAACCAAACCGAATCTGTTTCTGTGTTCTCGAACCAGAACCGGTTCGGGTCGAACTGGCTTGTGAGCATGGTGGTTCTTTGTTCATGTTCAACCCTTATGGGTAAAACTGTACCGGTTTGAGCTAAGCCGTCGGTTCGAGCATAGCTAGCCCGCAGCCACGGCAAATCGCCCATCCTTCTCATATGTGCCCCCGACTTTCCTCCCTTTCTCCGTCCCTTTGTCTTTCCTCCCCCTCCTCATCACCAGCGCTACTACCTCTCCTCATCACGAGAGCTCACCCGAATCGACGGGCTGACCAAGTCGCCCATCCTCGCGCATTTCTCCGAGACGCTCGCCGGGGCGGCAGTGATCCGCGCATTCGCCCAGGAGGAGTGGTTTGAGATAGAGACCAGCCTATTCCTCCGTCCATCCTGCCTCCCTTACCCCCTCTTTTTTTCCTCACTTCTGCATTCCTTCCCACACCACACCCATCCACCCTCCCTTATCACCCATCCCCTGTCAGCGCTACTACCTCTCCTCATCACGAGAGCTCACCCGAATTGACGGGCTGACCAAGTCGCCCATCCTCGCGCATTTTTCCGAGACGCTCGCCGGGGCGGCGGTGATCCGTGCGTTCGCGCAGGAGGAGCGGTTTGAGATAGAAAATGCGGATGCGGTGGACAACAACATGCGCGCCTACTTCCACTACTATGGCGCCATCTACTGGCTGGGGCTCCGATTGGAGACGATTTCAGCTGTTGTCCTTGCCTTCGTTGCGTTCCTGCTGGTGCTCGTGCCTCAAGGCACCATCGAACCAGGTAAGGGTTTTGTTTCTGGGTTCGAATCGGAGGAGTGATTGGTGCAGTGAGATGAGCGGTTTGAGATAGAGAACGCGGACGCGGTGGACAACAACATGCGTGCATACTTCCATTATTACGGCGCCATCTCCTGGCTGGGCCTCCGATTGGAAACGATGTCTGCTGTGGTGCTCGCGTTCGTGGCGTTTCTCCTGGTGCTTGTGCCACAGAAAACCATCAAACCCAGTACGCACCATCAAACCCAGTACGCACCATCAAACCCAGTAGGAACTAAATGCTTCAAAAGGCAGCTGGAAGAGTGAGGAGAGACGAGTGTGCAGGGAGCGGTTTGAGATAGAGAACGCAGATGCTGTAGACAACAACATGCGAGCCTACTTCCACTACTATGGCGCCATCTACTGGCTGGGGCTGCGATTGGAGACAACTTCTGCTGTGGTGCTCGCGTTTGTTGCATTCCTGCTGGTGCTCGTGCCTCAAGGCATCATTGAACCAGGTGCTTGTTCCTGGGTTCGATTCGAACTGGAGGAGTGATGGGTGCAGTGCGGTGAGCGGTTTGAGATAGAGAACTCGGGCGTGGTGGACAACAACGTGCGCGCCTACTTCCACCACTATGGCGCCATCCGTGCCGTAGATAGATGACATGAGGTGACTTTTGAGTCGACTCAAAAGTCACCTCGTTACCATGGCACACGCCTACTTCCACTATATGGCGCCATCTGTGCCGTAGATAGATGACATGACGATCAACATTATCACTCCCCTCCTTTATGTTCGTTCTGTGCCTTCCACCAGGCTTAGCAGGGGCGGGGCGTCCCCCCCTACGGCCTGACACTCAACATGGCACTGGTGATGACCATGTGGCAACTCCCAATCAACGAGAACCATGAGCTCACATCTTCTCCCACCTACCCCTCCTTCTTCGCCCTGTTCGTTCTGTGCCTTTCACCAGGCCTAGCAGGCGTCTCTCTGGCCTACGGTCTAACCCTCAACATGGCGCTAGTCATGACAATGTGGCATCTCTCCAACCTTGAGAACAAGCTGGTGGCAGTGGACCGCATCCGCCATTTCTCCGCCATCCCCTCTGAGGCGCCCTTGATCGTCGAAGGCAACCGGCCCTCTGCTGACTGGCCCAACCGCGGCTCCATCAGCTTTGAGAACCTGCAGGTGAGCCAGGTTGCCCAGCCCACTGCTTCTCAGCTTGTCGCTGTGTGGCTGCTTTTGGGGCGATTTAAAAGCCCAAATGTGGAAGAAATCTGTTGTCTCCAACCTTGAGAACAAGCTGGTAGCAGTGGATCGAATCCGCCATTTCTCCGCCATCCCCTCTGAGGTTCCCTTGATCGTCAAAGGCAACCGGCCTTCCGCCGACTGGCCCATCAGCTTTGAAAACCTCCAGGTGAGCCCAGCCCACTGCTACCCAGCTTTGAAAACACGACTACAGCTTGTAGTGGAGAGCTGCAGAGTAGCTGACTGGGCCTTTCGAGGTTCCATCAGCTTCGAGAACCTTTGGTTGAGCCCCCTGCTGATTTTTGAGTCAACTACAAAAACCGAGTTTTGAGTCGATTGTAGTGAGTCGAGTTTTGAGTCAACTCAAAACTCGACTCACTACATGCGGACTCAAAACTCGACTCACTACACGAGAACCTTTGATTGAGCCCCCTGCTGATTTTTGAGTCAACTACAAAAACCTCCAGGTGAATCCTCCGATACTTTTTAAGGTGGGGTCTTTAAGAAATTTAAAAGAACCTCCAGGTGGCTACATGGAGATCTCTTAAGACCTTTGCAACTATCCTATGCTTCTCGCCCCTTCCTTGTTTCCATCTCTCTATTTTCACACAGATGCGCTACAGGGAAGCCATGCCACTGGTACTGAAAGGCGTGACAGTAACCTTCAGAGGTGGTGAGAAGATGGGAGTGGTTGGCCGCACAGGCAACTCAAATTCTCTCAACCCCTTTCTTTTTCCCAACTCTTTTCATCGCCACATTATACCCAGATGCGTTACAGAGAAGCAATGCCGCTCGTCCTAAAGGGTGTGACAGTGACATTCAGAGGCGGGGAGAAGGTGGGAGTGGTCGGCCGCACGGGCAGCGGCAAATCCACCCTCGTCGTCGCCCTCTTCCGATTGGTCGAGCCGGTGGGCGGGAGAGTCATGATCGACGGCGTGGACATCTCGACCATCGGATTGCAAGATCTACGGTCCAGATTGGCCATCATCCCACAGGACCCGACCCTGTTCGAAGGCACGGTTCGGTCGAACCTGGACCCTCTGGGTCGATACCATTCCAGTTTGCTCTGGGAGGTGCTGGAGAAGTGCCAGCTGGCAGAGGCGGTAATGGACAAAGAGGACAAGCTGGACGCCATTGGTGAGTCTTGTCGTTTTCCTCACTCTCCTACTCACCTGCCCCATATATTTCGTGGCGCCTAAGGAATCATCTCATCACACCTGGGAGGTGCTGGAGAAGTGCCAGCTGGCTTTTTTTTTGGGCGCCTCAAAAAGAGAAGTGCCAGCTGGCAGAGGCAGCTCTTTAAGTAGCCCTAACACGTGCCTAACTCTCATTCCCAGAATGATTTTATCTTCTTGCAGTGGTGGAGGGTGGAGAGAACTGGAGTGTGGGGCAGAGGCAGCTCTTCTGCCTCGCCAGGGCTCTGCTCAAGCGCTCTTGAATCGGCTCCAACACAACACATGCCAAAAAGCCTCCATTCCCTTCTTCTTTCTCCTGCAGTGGTGGAGGGAGGCGAGAACTGGAGCGTGGGGCAGAGGCAGCTCTTCTGCCTCGCCAGAGCTCTGCTCAAGCGCTCTCGAATCCTGGTGCTGGATGAAGCAACTGCGTCCGTTGATTCGGCCACCAACGCCATCATCCAACGGACCATAAAGGAGAACTTCGCCCGGGCGACGGTGATCACTGTAGCGCACCGCATCCCCTCTGTAATCGACTCCGATAAAGTGCTCGTGCTGGAAGCAGGTGAGGGGGGCTCTATTTGTGTGCTCGGAGAAAAAATTCCTATGTTGGAGGTACATTGTAGTGCACTGCATCCCCTCTGTTATCGGCTCCAATAAAGTGCTCGTGCTGGAAGCAGGTGAGTGGCGCTCTGTGTGTGCATGTGTGTGCACCTGTGTGCATGTGTGTGGGGGTACTTTGTGTATGAGGCACATAAAGCATGATATCCGTAGCACACCGCAATCCCCTTTGTGATTGACTCCAATTAAGTATTCGTGCTGGGGGCAGGTGAGGGAGACAAGCTGGCTGTATTTTAGTTTTGCTACAATAGCTATGCACCCCATACATTCTTTCTTTTCAACCTCCCACTCTTCCACTCCCTACCAGCCCACACATTTTCCGCGAAACCCTTTTTTCCTCTCACCTCTTGAGCACGCTGTTTGCGGATAATGTTTCTGCTGATCCCACATTTGTCCACCAATGCACTCACCTCTCTGATTTGATCTGATTTGGCTCCGCAGGAAGAGTGGAGGAATTTGACTCGCCTGTGCGGCTGCTGGCCAATAAGAGATCGCTCTTCTCACAGCTAGTTGCAGAGTACTCTAAACGCACAAACACTGTAGCAAACCTAAGTGCCATGGTGCGTATGCCACGCGACTATTCAAGACAAACCATGCCCTTGGATGACTATTAGTGACTTACTGATGTAATATGTGCTCACGCGATGGTGCACACATAGCATGGTGTGCAATACGCATGTCTCTTGACTGAATAAGCACCTGGATGACTAATAGAGGTGCAGCATGTGAATGTAACCGGTGTGTTTTCAATGAAATGTATTTGCAATCAGCATTAACAGTGGGAGGTACAAATATATATATCAAAATGTACCAATCTGCTGTTTATTAATGTACAGATTTTGCTGTTCGGTGTAGGGTCGTAAGGCAGCCTGCCATTACTGTCGAATCTGCTCGAAAAGGCTGTCCGCAATATAAGCTAGGCTGTCATTACTGCCCTTAGGGCGTGTCACCTCCTCAAAGGGGATTGTTAGAACGAGCACCGTACTAAACCAAAATTGTTTTTTTATTAAAACCGTACGGTACCAAATGCAACCCCCAGAAATTCGAAATTCGAACAGCTGGTTACCACCCGAGGTGACACGCCCTTAGGAGCCCGTATCCAGTGCGACTTAGACTCCTGCTCGTTTGACTCATCCGCGGTATTAGCCTCTCATTACTGCATATACGCTGCAGTGGAGATACTGCCGTTCCGCCTTGCAAGATCACATGCACTGCGTCCCCGCCTGGTCTTCGTTATAGATCGATCGCGTTATAAGATAGCCTCCGTTACTCCCTGTATGCTGCATTGGCGTTATTCGCGCTCGGCCTCGCGAGTTCGTAAGCACTGCGTCTCCGCCTGCTGCTCGTTAGAAACTGTCCGCGATATAAGATTACATGTACCATCAAGGTAGGATATGAAGAAAGGTGCCAAGTTGTGGGCTTGTGAAAAGGTACCATACGGTACGGGTAGCTATATTCGTCTCTAGTCATTCCCTCCACGCCTTATCCCCTCTGTCAACGCTCTGCATCCCTCCCACCTTATTCCGCTCCCCTTCCCCGTCCCCATTCCCCTTCCCGCGTCCCTCTCCGCCCACCATCCAGCCAGCAATCCCCCAATACCCCTGCTACAGCCTTCCTCACAGCAACAGCCTTCGCGAATCCACCAGCGGTTGCCATCCCAGCAGCAATAGCCCAGCTGGTGTTACCAAGGATCGCGAATTCAGGGGAGCTGACGAAGTCACCAACGATGAGAAATGCAGCAGTGCTGGCGAATGCAGCAATTCTGGCGAATTCAGGGGTGCTGGCGAAACTGGCACTGTCACCACCGCACCCCGTTAACGTCTCTTCCTGGCGAAATGCCTCACCTGGGGTTGCAGAGCGACTGTTTCCTTTGCCAGGGGCCCTCTCTCCTGCCTACCTTTCTGGTGCGAAACTTCTTGGGCAGATGAACGGTCCTGTGAACAGTTTTTTGGGCGGTCGTGCTTGCTCAGCTGCTGCATCCATCGGCCATGATGCCTCTGCCAGTGTACTCGATACTGAAGGATCCGTTTCTGTTACAACCATTGAGGCGGAATCTCCAGTGACGAGTACAGGAGCCTCTGCTAATGTTGAACTGACTGTAACGAGTATGTCAGGTCTGCTGGAGGAGGCGGGTGGGAGGGGAAAGGGGAGGAGGGGGAGGCCTAAGGGGAGTGGGGAACGGGGAACAGGAGGGGAGGGAGGGGGAAAGGGGACAGTCAAGGGGAAGCAGCTAAGGTTACTGCTGGAGGAGGTAGGGGGTGAGGGATTGGTGGGGGAAGGTGGGGAGGAGGGGATAGGGGCAGATGGCAGTGTGGGAAAGAGAAACCCAGATCTAGAATTGCGCACAGTTGGTGAAGGTTCTATACAGAGTGACTCTAACGGTAGCAGTAACAATGCTGTGAGTGAAGTGGTTGTGGTGAGAAGAACGCGGGGCAGAAGAAAGACGGCTGAGCTGACCGAAAAAAAGGAGGAGGGGGAGATGGAAGGGGCGAAAGGGGGTGAGAACCTAGTGGCGGAAGCAAGGGAGGAGGGGAGAGAAGCAGACAGCAGGATGCGAACAGAATCGCCTGATTCAATCCTTCCCACAACAACTGGTGGTAAGAATGATTCGATGCTGAGTGACTCTAACCAGAGTGAAATTAATGGAAGTGAAAGTCTGGTTAAAGTGGTGGTGGTGAGGAGAACGCGGGGCAGAAGAAAGTCTGCTGAGCTGACCGAAAAGAGAGAGGAGGTGGGGATGGAGGGGGAGGGAGAGGGAGAGGGGAAAAAGAAGACGGGGAGGGGGAGGCGGAAAAGCAAGGAAGAGAGAGTGAATGATAAAGAGGAGAAGGGAGATGTCAAGGCAGGCGATGACATGCGGATGGGTGTGAGGTCTGACAGTGCAGGTGCTGTGTGTGCTGATGTGGGGGAACCTATGAGTGTTGTGGGGAACCTTGTGTGTGTTGACATGAGGAGGGAGGGTCCCAGCCTAGATGGGGGAAGTAACCACGACCCCCCAAGTGTGCACGGTGACACCTCTCTCTTGACTTTAGAGGCGCCTCAAAAGTCCCCAACAGTGGACGGTGGCGACTCTCTCTTGAAATTCCTCCAAAACCTTGCGCTAGAAGCGGTGGGCGGCAGCGACACAGAGGGCGAGAGAGGGCCACACGTACCGGCACCAACCGCACTGGACCCCATGGAATTGCGCAAGAGAGCGTGGCACGCTGATATATCCCAGAGGCATCCCAAGGGGGCTGTCATTTTGGGCGTGGACCCAGACGTGCTAGGGGCCGTGGCTGTGCTTTTTGTTAGGCCCCGGAGGAAACAAGAGGTGGAAGGTTGTGCTGTCAGTGTTGTCAACACCAGGACTGGACGGGAGGAGGAGCAAGGGGATGGTGCTGAGAAGGTGCTGCGTGTTCAGTCTTGTTTTGAGGCGACTCAAAATGCTACGGCAAGTGAATGGGAGGAGAGGCTTACTGTTGCTGCTGCTGAAGCTGCGAGAGAGGGCGGAGGAGGAGGAAGTGGGAGAGGAGCAGTGGAAGAGGAAGGGGAGGGTGAGGAGGATTGTGAGAGAGTGTGGGAGGTTGAGGGGGGGATGGAGGGATGGACACGAATTCTGACAGGAGAGGATGGGGCGGACGGATTGGAGGAAGGGAGATCAACAGTGTATGGGCAGGTGGGTTATAGCCTATAGGTGAAATACTGTCAAAATTAGTCTTCAAAACGTTGCAAACTTGAAAATCTGCAACTCTAATCAGCTTCTATTCAAAACCCTGGTTCTGTAACACTGCTCTGCAAGTTTTCAAAACTCTGCAAATTTTACAACCCTCCGATCCATGACACGCCATAGGAGCCTGTATTTAAACCCCTGGTTCTGAAATCTTGCACTGCAACAAACCCTGCAATTTTTTCACTTGTTCTCGCAGATCCATGACGTGCCATATGAGCTCGTATCCGTGGGTGCTTCCAATCGCAAGAGGCACTGTGCCCAGGCCATAGCGGCTCTCCTGCACCAGTTGCCACCTGCCCCAGGTATGAACGGTCTGGTTACCACCTGCACTGCACCAGGTGGGTCTTATGAGGCACCTCTAGAGGCGCAAGAGGCACTGCGCCCAGGCCATAGCTTCTCTCCTGCACCAGTTGCCACCTGCACCGGGTGGGTTACACAGTTAGGTTGCACTCTGGTTACCACATGCATGGGTTTCTAAGGCCCGTCAAACATTGGCCCAGGCCATATCGGCTCCCCTGCACCAGTTGCCACCTGCACCAGTTGCCACCTGCACCAGTTGCCACCTGCACCAGTTGTCACCTACACCAGTTGCCACCTGCACCGGGTATGCTATGGTCTGGTTGCCATCTGCTGCTTTCTTGTTATTTGTTCTGGTTTCTTCCCCTCACCTTCTTGTCACCTTCCTCTCACCTTCCTGTCTCCTTTATTCATCCTTCTTCTTGCTGTCATCTCACCTTCCTCTCACCTCCCTCACCCTCCTCTCACTTTCCACTCATCTCCCTCCCACCTTCCTCTCAGCTTTCCCAACCTTGCTTCTGCAGAGCCCTAGTCGTTTCGCCTCCCTTCTCACCCTCTTACCCTCTTCTCATTCCCTTCCTTACCCCCTGCTCTTCTCATTCCCTTCCTTACCCCCTGCTCTTCTCCTTCCCTTCCTTATCCCCTGCTCTTCTCCTCCCCTCTCCTCCCCCTTCCTGCTCTTCTGCTGGCCCCTTCTCCCCTCATCTTCTCCTTCCCTTCGCGGCCTCCCTCCCTCTCTCCACTCCCATCACCATATCAGTTCGCCTTGCCTATGTGGAGCAGGCCAGGCCGTTCCCCTCTGATGGCAAACAGGTGGGTTGGGATGGGGTGCAATAAGGTGGGATGGGGTGCAATCAGGTGGGATGGGGTGCAAGCAGGTGTGTCCTGCACTCTGAAGTGAAGTGCATCCAAGAAGAAGGTATTACTTCGACACATATTGTATTCTAGAGTTCATTCGGTGGTTTTTGAGGCGCCTCGAAAAGAGTGCATTCGGTGGTACAACTGCCCTTCGGACATGTTCTTCAGAATACAATACTTCGACACATATTGTATTCTAGAGTGCATTCGGTGGTACAACTTCCCTTCATAAGGAGCAAGGCCAGGCCAGGCCTTGTGACGTGAAGTGGGACGTTTTTTAGGCGCCTAAAACATCGTCTCACTTTGAAGGCCTTTTAAATGGCGAGGCCATTCCCCTCTGATGGCGAGCAGATGAGATGAACACTGTGCAAAACAGTAACAAGTTGTTGATCCAATGCTGTGAATCATCCAATCCACCTCCTTCCCCCCCTTCCTCATCCTGCAGGGTTGGTACGGCTGTGGCTTTGGCTTCGGGGTGTGGATGGGCGTGCTGGCAGCAAGTGGGTTTGAGGTCACCGCGGTGACGTCTGTGCGCTGGAAGGCTGCCATTCGTTCACAAGCACCCCTCGCTTTCACCTCCAAGGTCGGTCGCTTTACTCAGCTACTCAGTCAGCCAGTCAGTCAGTCGCTTCGGGGTGTGGGTGGGCGTGCTGGCAGCAAGTGGGTTTGAGGTCACTGCAGTGCCGTCTGTGCGATGGAAGGCGGCCGTTCGCACTCAACCACCACTCGCGTTCACCTCCAAGGTTTGTCAGCACTCACTCACTCACTCAGTGAGTAGCTGTGCGCACGTCCCAACCTACTCTGCTCCCAGCAAGTGGGTTTGAGGTCACCGCAGTGACGTCTGTGCGATGGAAGGCTGCCATTCGTTCATAAGCACTGCTTGCCTTCACCTCCAAGGTCGGTCCCTCACCTACTCACTCGCTCACTCACTCGGTAGGTCTTTCAAACACTCACCCACTCATTCACTCACTCACTCAGTGAGTTGCTGTCTGCACTTCCAACAAGCAAGTGGGTTCGGTTTGTAGGTCACCGCAGTGATGTCTGTGCGGTGAAAGCTGCCATTCGCACACAGGCACCACTCGTTTTCACCGTCAAGGTCACTCACTCACTCAGTCATCCACTCACTCACTCATTCACTCAGTCGGTTAAAATATGACAGTGGTTCACGTGTAAAACCTTTATATGAGCCTTGGCCGCATTACCTCTCGAGGTACCGGCTTCTAAGGCTGCCTCATGCACGAATATAGTAACTGCTTTGCCTGCTTAGTTTTCAGAAACGTAACAGTGTTTTTATGCTTCACTGTGCGCGGATTTGTCTCGCCCCTCTTCTTCTCTCCCCCATGCCCAGGAGGACAGCAGACAGTTGGCTCTCTCGCTTTTCCCCTCCCTGGCCACACAGCTGAAAAGGAAAAAGGACCATGGTGAGTCAGCATATTCTGACATGCCCTCCCTCCCGCCCTGTATTCGCTTAGAACCGCTTTGTTGTCTGCCGCTCAAAGAGGACAACAAAGAGGTTTATATCCTCTTTGTCTTCTGCCGCTCCACTGCTCTCATCATCTGTGCCTACCGCCCATCCACTGTTCTCATCCTTTGCATCCACATGCTGAGCAAAAGCTCTTTTGTCCCCCATTTATGGCACAACCACCAAGCAATACATGTACATTAGATGCCTGCTGTTCCACGCCTTGCTCTCACCCTCACGCTCTGCAGCTCTCGCCCTCTCTCATCGTCTCATCCTCTCCCACCCTCTCTGTACATGTACATTAGAGCCGAGCAGAAGCGCTTCTCATTGCCATATACGGCACAAGCCTTTGGCGCTATACGGCACAAGCCTTTGGCGCTATACGGCACAAGCCTTTGGCGCTATACGGCACAAGCCTTTGGCGCTATACGGCACAAGCCTTTGGTGACTTTTGAGTCGACTCAAAAGTCACCCTGAGCCGAGCAGAAGCGCTTCTCATTGCCATATACGGCACAAGCCTTTGGCCAGGCTCAGAAATCGTCTGTGTTTGCTGCTCCCACATTTTCTCATCGCCTCTCCCCACTCTCATATTTCCCTCTCCCTTCCTCTCTATTCACAGGCCGAGCAGAGGCCCTCCTGATTGCTACATATGGCACAAACCTTTGGCCTTCCTCAGGTGAAAAGTCGAAGAAGACAAGGAGTAGAGCCAAGGCAGCGACTGGGGAGGCTGTGAGAACTGGTGGTGAGGGCATGGAGGATGGAAGCAGCAGAATGGAAGTGAAAGAGGATTCGGTGCCATGGTCCATGCCTTTGCCCGTGATATGACTGTTACTACCTCAGGCCAATGTGGTGCCAAGTCAGGCCAGTGAGAAGGAGACTGCTCAGGCTAGTGCCAGTCAGTGAGAAGGAGACGAGGAGAATAGCCAAGGCAAGGGTGAGATGAATGTTACCAGCTCAGGCCAATGAATGGGGACGAGCATAGCATGTGCATGGCTGCTGCAAGATGGGAAGCAGTGAACCTCTAGCAACCAGTGAGAGAGGGGAAGGTGAAGCAGTGCTTGAGTCGGGACCGCTGAAAATGTAGAGCCTTACCATTTTTTTGGCCACCAAGAATGTCCCCGCGCGCTACTGCTGGCCTTGCTGCTGCCCTTCAACAGCAGTAGGGTGCATGGGCGATACACAAGAGGTCTTTTGGGTTCTCAAAAACCAGCCAAGAAACATTCCAGTCCAGTCCAGTCCTTTGGTACCCCTCTTTTTTTTTTTGCCACACCCCTTGGAACCGCCTCTTTTATATTTCCAGTCTCTTGTTTCCAGTCCAGACTGGTTTGTAGTGGAACGATGCAATCTTTTTGCTTATTCATACCACATACCTACATGGTACTCTTTACACAGGAGGTGTGTAGTCACAGTTACTGTACCAAGGCCAGCAATATAGGCGCCTGAAAAAAAAAAAACCAATCGTTCTAAATGGTTGGTAGGTAGCAGGTGCTGGTTACAAAAGTTTCTTGTGGTGGAAGAAGGATTTGAGGTGGCAGAACTGAAGGGCTGTGAGGGCGATGCAGACAAGGAGAGAAGCGAGACTTATGCATGCTATTCTGAAGTGTGTTGTGTTGACCACTTGCTGCAGCTCCAATTCCCTGCAATTCAAATGACAGGAAGGGATGCAGGTCAAGCAGGTAATGAAAGGTGAAGAGGAGGAGCAAAGCAAGGCTGAAACACGCCACTCTCACCTCTGTGAAAGAACTCAAGCTGAGCCGCCACAGGGGCATGAGGCAGCAACAAGATAATCATGAGTGGGTTGATGGAGGGGGTCAGCTCTCACCACTCATGGAAGAAATGTAGCTCATCCGCCACAGAGGTATGAGGCAGCATGTTTGAGGTGTGCGATGTGAACCGTTCATTCCCCAATGGCAACAACATAGCACCAAGATGGTAAAGCAAGGGTTGCCGCTCACCTCTCTTGGAAGAATTCTAGCTCAGCCGCCACATTCGCAGCCGTGCGTTAATGAGGGTATTTCTGAGACGTCTCAAAAAGGCTGCTTCTCACTCACCTCTCGTGGAAGAATTCAAGCTCATCCGCCACAGAGGCAGCCATGCTCTCCAGATCTTGGAGCTCCGAGTCAAAGGTCTGAAAGCAGAAAGAGGAGAGGAGGAGGGGGGAGGTGATTAAGGAAGGGAAGGGCAGAAGGGTGTGTCAACCACTTTGAGGCGAGACCAGCCGCCACAGAGGCAGCCATGCTTTCTAGAGTTTGGAGCTCCGAGTCAAAAGTCTGAAAGCAGAAAGAGGAGTCTGAGGCAAGAAAGGCCGCCAGCCACCACAGAGGCAGCCCTGCTCTCCCATGTCTGGACTGGAGCTCCCAGTCAAAAGCCTTTGAAAGGGAAAGGGGATAAAAGTCCCCTCACTTCACCTCACATTGCCTCACCTCTTCTACCCTCCCTTCTTCTGCCCTTCCCTCTATCTACTTCCCTTACATTGCCTCACCTCTTCTACCCTCCCTTCTTCTGCCCTTCCCTCTATCTACTTCCCTTACATTGCCTCCCCTCTTCTACCCTCCCTTCTTCTGCCCTCCCCTCTACTTCCCTCACATCGCCTCACCTCTTCTACCCTCCCCTTCTTCTGCCCTCCCCTCTACTTGCCTCGCATCGCCTCACCACTTCAAACCTCCCTTCTTCTGCCCTCACCTCTAATTGCCTCACAACGCCTCATCCCCACCTGCTCCTTCTTGGGTGCTGCGAAGGGACGGGCCTCAAGTGCCCAGTACACAACAAACAATTTTTGAGGCGCCTCAAAAACCACCTCGAAAATCTCATTCTTGGGTGCGACTGAGGGTCGGGCTTTAAGTGGCCAGTACACAACAAACAATCTCCTTTCCTTTCCTCCGTACCTCACCTTGACTTGCCTCACCTCACCTCACCTCACCTCACCTCACCTCACCTCACCTCACCTCACCTCACCTCACCTCACGTCACCTCGACCTGCTCCTTCCTGGGTGTCGTGTGACTTGCCGACAGGCAATGCTACATCCACCTTCCCTCTCCAACCCTCTCTCTCTCTTTCATCCTGGCCTCACCTCAACTCGCCTCACCTGGACTTGCTTCACCTCGCCTTGCACTCACCTCGACCTGCTCCTTCCTGGGTGCTTCTGAAAGATGTGCGTCTTTTGACTTGCCCACACGCCATGCCACGTCCACCTTCCTCCTCTCCCTCCCCTTGCTGCGCCCTGCCCGCGCGCTCCCTGTTGCCGGCACATCCCTCTCTGTGCCTCTGAGAAGCAAAACAAAAAAACACAGGGAATGTGCCTCGCACATCCCGCACATGCAGTGAGGGTGTTTTTGAGACGTCTCAAAAACAAAAAAACACAGGGAATGTGCCTCGCACATCCCGCACATGCAGTGAGGGTGTTTTTGAGACGTCTCAAAAACAAAAAAACACAGGGAATGTGCCTCGCACATCCCGCACATGCAGTGAGGGTGTTTTTGAGACGTCTCAAAAACAAAAAAACACAGGGAATGTGCCTCGCACATCCCGCACATGCAGTGAGGGTGTTTTTGAGACGTCTCAAAAACAAAAAAACACAGGGAATGTGCCTCGCACATCCTGCCCGCGCGCTCCCTGTTGCCGGCACATCCCTCTCCGTGCCTCTGAGAAGCAGCAATGGTGTGCATACCATACACAAAATGTTTATCAGCGATCACAAATGGACCGCACGAGTTTTTAAAAGCACAGGTGATCATCAAGGACCGCCCCAAAAAAAAGGATGTTGGCTCGACTAGAAGGACTTTGGCCTGACTAAAAAACAAGAAAAAAACTTGAGAACAGTGGTATTCCATGCTCACACAAACATGTGCTTGAGAAGTGTACACCCCCCACCCCCACCCCTCCCTTCCCCCCGCCAACGCCCTCTACTGCTGCTCCTACCCTCTCAGTCCCTCTGAGCAGCAGCAACGGTGGGCACAGGATGGCACACATTGGAGCAAAACGAAACAAGAGCTCAAAACACAAACAGACGAAATTAGCCGGCTCAAAACAGCCTACCATCCAGCCCACCTGGACAGCCACACACACAACGTGTGATCCCCTGCTTCCTCTGTTATGAGCAATTCTTGAGATTTTTTTAGCAGCTCAGCCAACCCCCCCAACCCACCTGGATAGCCACACACAACGTGTGACCCCCGCTTCCTCCGTAATAAGCAATTCCTGAGATTACTTAAGAGCTCAGCCAACCTCCCGAACCCACCTGGACAGCCACACACAGAGCGTGTGATCCCCTGCTTCCTATGTTTTTGGCAGGTGATTTTCTCCCATAATGCTCAGAAATATCCCTCCAGCCAAATCAATCAGCCCACCCACCTGGACAGCCACACACACAACGTGTGATCCCCTGCTTTCGTTGCTCGGAATCCAAAGTGCCCCTCTGTCTGCCGCTCCCCATAGTGCAACTGCGTCCCCTCGGGCGAGGTCAGCTGAGGGGGAGAAGGGAAGAGAAGAGAAAGACTTTTGAGAATTCTCAAAAGGGAAGTGGAAGGCAACCCAGAATGGGCTCCTCTATAAGCAATGTTGAAATCGCTTTTGAGAATTCTCAAAAGCGATTTCAAAGAGAAGTGGAAGACAGCCCAGAATCTCAAAAGCGATTTCAAAGAGAAGTGGAAGACAACCCAGAATGGGCTCCTCTATAAGCCACACCCTATACTGCAGCTGCTTTCTCCCGGGGGAAATCAGATGGAAGAAGGGGGGGAGGGGAGTGGAAGAAAAGGTGGGGAGCGGGGAGAGAGGACTGCTAGCTAGTCAACCCAAAATGCCACCCTGTATCTGCTGCTTTCCATCCCCTAGTGCTTGGTAGTTGGGCTTCAAAAGAATTTGTACTTCATAAGTGACGAATTTGTGAAGTGTACTGCTTGAGTGTACTCGATACTTGCCTGCAAGTGTACTTTGAAAGGCGGCTCCGCATCTCCATCCTCCACGCCCACAACTCGATACGAGCCTGCTACTAACGCGTACTGAGGAATCTCCTTGCTCACGCATTTGGCCTGCCGCGACACCTCCATTTGAAAAGAGTTGATCGCGCAAACTACTCGCGAATATGGAAGGAGGAGGAGGAGGAGGAGGAGGAGGAGGAGGAGGAGGGGCAAGAGGAGAAGGTGACTTCTGAATCTATTCGAAGGGATTGCGCTGCTGAAGGGTCTCGCGACGTGCTTGGCCCGTGGCGATACCGCCATTTGAACGTGCTGACGGGACCTCTCAGCACGTCTCCGCCAATCGTGCGAGGTATCGGCGGATAGGGGAGAAGGAGGAGCACGACCAGTGGGAGGTGGTGATGTTGATTCGGCCTTCGCTACTCTGTTACGAGTAACCTGGTAACCAGTCCATAACTGTCCGTTGCTTTGATTAGTTGTTGTGGAGAGACTGGTGGACAAGGATCAGGAGAGGAGGTGTGGTCATCCCCGCTAATGTCTCATTTATCGATTCGGCGTTATAACGGAGCAGATTTTCATTCTTTTAACGAATTTGTGCTAGCGACGCTTACTGGAAAGACTCTACATCAGCAGGACATGCGCATAATGCGGGAGGAGACATCAGAAGTGATTAGAACCATGCCGTAATTAGCGGCTCGGGCCGACCAGGGCTGAGGATAAAAACACTACCACCAACCATCATGCCAATCTGGTCTGCGGACTCGTGCGAAGTTTCGCATCTCTCGCGATTATCGAGGAGATGGCATTTAGGCACCAGATATGTTACAATGCAACTAACCGAGCATGACGCTCGCTGTACGCCAGACAGAACTCCTCGGAACAAAAGCTGATACCTAATGTGGAGCACAAGAAAATGAAATATTTACAATTATAGCATATATACACAAGCTATTTACATGACGGCCAGACAAACAAGTGTTTTTTTTCCTGTACAAGGGGCACATAGACACATTCAGATGCTTGCAGCAAGACCCTCTGCCGCAATGCTTGGCCTGTTTCCCTCCAACTCAAGGTCGTATCGCTGGCCTCGCACAACAGCGTACATCAAATCAGGCGCGATGTAATCGCATGTGCGCTCAATCCGGAATGGCTCCCCTGGGACCTGCACACACCAAAGAGTACACCACATGAACAACTTTTTAGACAGCCATAAGTAGAGGCTGTGATAAACAATATGCATTTGATCATGCATGCATTGCATATACGCACTGCATATGGGCTATATGGGTGTTATATGGATGTTACGTACCTGATTTCCAGAGTGTATCTGGACACCTGTAATGACAGCATAGTCAGCGGTAGCAGGATCCACTGTAAGCGATATAAGCTTCTCCAGGTCCTCGTTAATAGCAGCTAGAGCCGCCCGTGTGACCTGTACAAGTGACAAAGGTGGGCCGCCATTGGTCACCTGGAAAAGGCAGGGAAGAAAACAGAGGAGGAAGAAAGGACCTGAAATGAATGAAAGGAACGGAAGGGTGGGGGAAAGGAACAAAGGAGGGATACGGAGAGAGCAGGGGAAAGGAGGGACGGGAAATGGAGGAAGTGGAACAAGGGAGGGGAAAGGGAGCACATGCTCTCTAAGGGAATATTCAACTTATTGAAACAGATTTCCATCATGTTAACCGCCTTGTTCACCACCACCACATTCTCCTCATAACAATAATTTTCCTGCCACAAGCCCTACACGCACACCCCTTTCCCCTTCCCTCAACTCCCTTCCCCTCCTCTACCGACCACACACACACCTTGCTGGCCACTTTCCTTCTTGGGCAGCACGTACTCCTCGTCACAAGGGTCCTCCTGCGTCCCCTCATCTACATTCAGATCGGCACACCGTGCTAGCGACATTCTTCTTGAGCAGCATGTACTCCTCGTCAAACGGGTCCCCCTGCGTCCCCTTGGCCTCGTTCCACTCTCCCTGACTGCAGGCAACCCCACCCATCTCGACCGCATCAAACCTACCAGCATCGCCCACACACGCACCTTGCTGGCAACCTTCTTCTTGAGCAGCACGTACTCCTCGTCAAATGGGTCCTCCTGCGTCCCCTTGGCCTCGTTCAGGTCGGTTTGAATCGCAATCAGCGCGCCACACGCACTTGACGGCCGCCCCCTGCCTCTCCGCAGCAGCGAGCCCACCTCGCCAGACTCGCCAATGGACACGTGTGGGAAGGCGAAGAATATGACTGCAGGGGAGCAAGGAACGAACGGAAAGGGAGAACAGACAAGGGGAGAGAAAGAGGTGTGTTAGAGAGGTAGGCTTTGCCCCCTGCCTCGCCGCAGCAACAAGCCCACCTCTCCCGATTTGCCGATTCGCTGATGTGCAGGAAGGCGAAGAAAATGTCTGAAGCGACATGGGACAAAAGCAGGGAGATAGCAGGAAATGCGAGAGAAAGGGGTTTGTTGCAGCAAGAAGCCATCCTTGCCAGGCTCACTGATGGACACAAGGGGGAAGGCGAATACGATACCTGTAGGGGACGAGGAGAGAGGCAGACGAATGTTTTGGGCCTCGTCTTGCTGTAGTTCACACCCACCCTGATCTCTCCCTCCCTAGTTGCCATAATCTCTACTCACATCGCTCAGGCAGAGTCCCATCCGGCTCCCTGAATTCCGGGGAGTGTGACATGGCGGCCTTAAAGCCCCTCTTGCCGCGGTTTACCAGCCCTCCCAGGGTTGACGGGAATTGAAGCAGAGGTGAGCAGCCAGCATGCTGTAAGAACCATACAAGACACTCACATCTCTCACGCAGAGTCCCGTCAGGCTCTCTGAACTCTGGCGAGTGCGACATGGCGGCCTTAAAGCCCGTCTTGCCGCAATTCACCAGCCCTCCCAGGCCCGACAGGTTGAAGGAGAGTCCGAATTGCCGGTCGATCAGGCTCACCACCGGGCGGCACACCTCGTCTCGACATGTGTTCCCCAGAGCGATGCTATTGGTCCTGGGAGAGGGGGAGAGGTTAGAGTGGGGAAGAGGTGGGAGTGGGGAAGAGGCGGGAGTGGGAAAGAGGTGGGAGTGGGACGAGGAGGAAGAGGGGGAGGACGAAGAGAGGCGAGTTTATGACTCATGGGGAAGTGTTATGACTCATGGGGAGAGACGTCTCAAAACATCACTTTTATCACGTGGCTAAAAGAAGGAGTATGCCTTCTGCGATGTTTTGAGACGTCTCAAAACATCACTTTTATCACGTGGCTAAAAGAAGGAGTATGCCTTGTGCGATGTTTTGAGACGTCTCAAAACATCACTTTTATCACGTGGCTAAAAGAAGGAGTATGCCTTCTGCGATGTTTTGAGACGTCTCAAAACATCACTTTTATCACGTGGCTAAAAGAAGGAGTATGCCTTCTGCGATGTTTTGAGACGTCTCAAAACATCACTTTTATCACGTGGCTAAAAGAAGGAGTATGCCTTCTGCGATGTTTTGAGACGTCTCAAAACATCACTTTTATCACGTGGCTAAAAGAAGGAGTATGCCTTCTGCGATGTTTTGAGACGTCTCAAAACATCACTTTTATCACGTGGCTAAAAGAAGGAGTATGCCTTGTGCGATGTTTTGAGACGTCTCAAAACATCACTTTTATCACGTGGCTAAAAGAAGGAGTATGCCTTCTGCGATGTTTTGAGACGTCTCAAAACATCACTTGTATCACGTGGCTAAAAGAAGGAGTATGCCTTCTGCGATGTTTTGAGACGTCTCAAAACATCACTTTTATCACGTGGCTAAAAGAAGGAGTATGCCTTCTGCGATGTTTTGAGACGTCTCAAAACATCACTTTTATCACGTGGCTAAAAGAAGGAGTACGCCTTCTGCGATGTTTTGAGACGTCTCAAAACATCACTTTTATCACGTGGCTAAAAGAAGGAGTATGCCTTCTGCGATGTTTTGAGACGTCTCAAAACATCACTTTTATCACGTGGCTAAAAGAAGGAGTATGCCTTCTGCGACGACTCAAAAGTCACCTCCTCGGGCGTCACACCTCATCACAACATGCGCTCACCAGAGAGATGCTGTTGGTCCTGAGAGGAGGGGGGGTGAGAGTGAGAGGATGGAGAGAGAGGGAGGACGGCAGGGAAGAAGAGAGAGGGGGAGGAAGGCGGAATGAGAAGTTCTGGGACTATCTCAAAGCTCACTTCGGCCATAAGGCAGCAGTCATGGGAGGCGGAGACGGCGGCGGAAGAGGAGGGGGAGGGGAAGATATGGAAAAAGAGAAAGGGGGTGACGGAGCAGTGGAAAAGGTGAGAGGGGAAAAAGAAGAGGCGCGTGGGGGTGAAAAAAAGAGGAGGGAAACGAGGAAGAGATGAGGATGGAAAAAGACGAAGTTGGTGAGACAGTCAGAGATACTTGTCCTCTGTCCCACCAACCTCGTCCTTTTTCATCCCCATCTCTTTCTCGTTTCCCACCATTTTCTCCACCTCTCCCTCCCCCCCCCATCTCTTTCTCCATTTTCCGTATCTTCCCCTCCACCTGCAGTCTCTTCAGCAAACCTCTTTACTCTTCCACCTTTCATTCTCCGCAGCTGCAGCTCTCTGCGCTTCCTTTTGACGAGAGGAAGAGGTGAGAGAAGGGAAAAGGTGCGGGAGGGGAAGAGGTGAGGGAGGGGAAGAGGTGAGGGAGGAGAAGAGGTGGGAGAGGGAAAAAGGTGGAAGAGGGGGAGGACGAGGAGAGGCGTGTTTATGACTCAAGGCACACCTTCTAGCGGTGTGCATTCACCAAAGCAAAGCTATTGGTCCTGGATGGTGGAGAGAGAAGCAGGACAGAAGCAGGAGAGAGAAAAGGGGAACTGGAAAGTTACTATCTGTTTTATTTCAGCACCTCTCACCTCTTGAAGCCCAGATTTCTGAGCGCGGCGATGCACGTCTTGATGCTAACTTTGCTCAACGCCTCACCTCTTAAAGCCCAGCTTGCTCAGCTCAGTAGCAACCGCCCTCAGAAACGCCTCCTCCTGCACAGCTCGGGGGAAGGTGGCGGCCATTGTTGCCAAAGCTTCTGGTGCCGCCTGCAAAGGTTTGAGCGAAAGGGAGGTACGATTATGGGAAGTGGGAGAGCGGGAAGCGGGAGAAAGGGAGGGGGGAGCAAGAAGTTGGGAAGAAATAAACAAAACTCCTGCACAGCTCGGGGGAAGGTGGCGGCCATTGTTGCCAGAAGTTCTGGTGCCGCCTGCAAAGGTTTGAGGGAAAAGTGGGGGAAGAGCGATAGAGGTGCAGGAAATTGACTGTCGAAAATTATTCAAATATCTGCGCCCTAGGGGACTAAAACAACAGCAACAATGAAAAAAACAAGCACAAAAATAATATCTAGAGTTGCTTGCTTACACTGGTAGCGCGCGGCACGATTCCGCTGGGAGGGTCTAGCGGAACCATCACGGGGGGGGAAGGGGGGGTTGTGGTGGAAGGCGCCCGCGTTGCTTACACTGGTAGCGCGCGGCACGATTCCGCTGGGAGGGTCGTGCGGAACCATGGGCCCATGGGAGTATGGGTGGGTTGGTGGATGTGTGTGGGGGGGGACGATGGCGGGGGAAGGGGGCAGTGGTTGGCAAGGCGCGCGTGTTGCTTACACTGGTAGCGCGCGGCACGATTCCGCTGGGAGGGTCCAGCGGAACCATGACTGGGCGGATTGCGGACGGTGATAAGGCGTTCCGCAGCGCGAGATAAGCGGCGGAGCCCAGAGCGCCCGCCACGAGCGACGACGTCGCGATGCTGCTGCTGCTGCTGTTCGCGAGCGTATTCGCAGGAGTTATCAGCGACGGTGGAACCGGGGATTGCGAAACGCTGGCGATGTGATGCACCTCCGGCGAAAATCTGTGCGACGAAGGAGGGGAGGTGCTTGTTTCGCGAGAAGCTCCAGAGGCGTCGGCGGCGACGTCATCGCAAAAATGTTGGGGGTGTTGTGAATGGGGTGGTCCATCGGACCACTTTTCTCGATGGTTTCCCATCGTTGTAAGTTGCTGTATATAACCTGTGCCTGCGTTTGGGGGCAACGTGGCAATTTTGGTACCACGATCAACCCTGTTTTGCCCATTCTGCGTGCAATAAAATGTATCTGGCTGCTTCCAGGAATGTGCGATCGTTTGATCCACGGACAAGATTCCAAGCGATTTGTTAAACGGTTTAGATCATGCCTCTGATTGATACCGCTTCTCGCGTCGCACTTCGTGCCGCATTTGTTTCGAAGAGTTGGATGCTCGATGTTTCTTCATTGTTTTTAGACGTTCGATGTATCGAGGATCTACGGCTCAAATGTTCTGGTCGCTGTGGGATTTCCAACGTGGCCCTTTTCTGGAGGGATTCGTTACGTGCCTCTGGTTCATCCCGGTTTATGGGCAGCGCGAAAGTTCTGACTCAGTCTGAACGGCTACTGGCGATATTTCTGTGGGGGTAACGCGAAAAGAGTTTCGTCAACACGCGCTTGCGAAAGAATTCTGGTAATGTTGGCGACCGAGTTTCTGCACAGGACCTGTAAACTAAATCGCCAGGCATGGCAACTGTGTTTGTTGCCTATTTATGAATGTTACAGCAGTGACTGCAGATTCCTATAACAGAATTGGTAGGATAACTGAGTCCAAATTGCAACTCCAAACTTAATAATCAATCGCTTAAAATCTAGCATATGATCGAATTAGGCTAACCCTGCATCCCTTATTACAGACCATATGCAACAACATGGGGAAGAGCGCTTGATTAGATTTGTCTACGTATATTTATTGGATAAGAGCGAGTGATCTGATTCATTTGTAAGTTTTTTGGGATTACACGTGATCATTTAGGTTTGTTTTTTAATACCAGGGTGTGTTTCAAACTCCTCTGTAACTACGAGCAATGTTGCAACAATAGTCTCCAAAAAGAAGATGTGTTGTGAACATTATTGTCTAGTTGTCGACTACAAAAGAGCGAGCGACATGATTCATATGAATGCTGCTTTTTTATTACGTGTTGGTTGTTGTCGTCGTCGTCGCTGCTGCTGTTGTCGCTGATGTCGTTGTCGTCCTTGTTGGCGTCGTCGGTTTCGTTGTCGTCGTCGTCGTCGCCGTCGTGTCGCTGTCGCGTTGTCGTTGTGGTTGTCCTAGCGGTCGTCGTCGTCGTCATCGTCATCGTCGTCGGCGTGGTCGTCGTCGTTGTTGTTTTCGTTATTGACGTTGTTCTTGTCGCCATTCTTGTCGTCGTCGTTCTTGTCGTCGTCGTTGCCGTCGTTGTTGCTGTCGTTGTTGTTGTCGTTGTTGCTGGCGTTGCTGTTGTTGTCGCTGTTGTTGTTGTTGCTGTCGTTGCTGTTGTTGCTGTTGTGATTGTTGCTGTCGTTGCTGATGTCGTTGCTGTTGTCGTCGTTGCTATCGTTGTTATTGTCGGTCGTGGTCGTGGTTAATGTCGTGGTTGTCGTCGTGGTCGTCGTCGTTATCGTCGTCGTTGTTGTCAACGTTGTTGTCGTCGTCGTTTTTGTCGTCGTCGTTGCCGTCGTTGTTGCTGTCGTTGTTGTTGTCGTTGTTGCTGGCGTTGTTGCTGGCGTTGCTGTTGTTGTCGCTGTTGTTGCTGTTGCTGTCGTTGCTGCTGTTGCTGTTGTGGTTGTTGCTGTCATTGTTGCTGTCGTTGCTGTTGTCGTCGTTGCTATCGTCGTTATTGTCGGTCGTGGTCGTGGTTAATGTCGTGGTTGTCGTCGTGGTCGTCGTCGTTATCATCGTCGTTGTTGTCGACGTTGTTGTCGTCGTCGTTGTTGCTGTCGTTGTTGCCGTCGATGTTGCAGTGGTTGTTGCAGTCGGTGTTGTCGTCGGTGCTGTCGTGTCATTGCTGTCGACGTGGTTGTTCTCGTCGTTGCTGTCGTCGTGGTGGTTGTTGTTGTCGTGGTTGTTGTTGTTGTTGTTGTTGTTGTTGTCGCGGTTGTTATTGTTGTCGTGGTTGTTGTTGTTGTTGTTGTTGTTGTTGTTGTTGTTGTTGTTGTTGTTGTCGTTGTCGTTGTCGTTGTCGTTGTCGTTGTCGTTGTCGTTGTCGTTGTCGCGGTCGCGGTCGTTGTCGCAGTCGCGGTCGCGGTCTATCGCCTCTATCGCCTTTCCGCCCGTCATTCCGCCCTCTATCGCCTTTCCGCCCGTCATTCCGCCCTCTATCGCCTTTCCGCCCGTCATTCCGCCCTCTATCGCGTTTCCGCCCGTCATTCCGCCCTCTATCGCGTTTCCGCCCGTCATTCCGCCCTCTATCGCGTTTCCGCCCGTCATTCCGCCCTGTATCGCCTTTCCGCCCGTCATTCCGCCCTCTATCGCCTTTCCGCCCGTCATTCCGCCCTCTATCGCCTTTCCGCCCGTCATTCCGAGTTCACACTGCACATCCCTTCTCCCATGCCGCCATTCATCCACTCCTTCCGCACATCCCTACTATAATCCGCCATTCATCATCTCATTTCGCCGTTCATCTACTGGTTCTAGCCGTTCAAGGTCTTTTTCTGCCGTTCACCCTCTAGTTACACCGGTCCTACTCTCATTCCACTAAGCCCTTCTCTTTTTTCGCCGTCCCTTTTCTCATTCCGCCATTCCTACTCTCATTCCACCATTGCTACGACAGTTTCGCGCTCCCTATTGTCATTCCACCCTTCATCCTCCTTTTCCTCCCTTTTTCTTCCCATTCAACCCGTATACACATATTTCCACCTGTCATGCGGGACCATTCCGCCTCTCTGACTCGCGTTCCGCCGTCGTCATCTCATTTCGCCCTTTATATTTTCGTTCCGCACTTGACGCTCTCATATCGCAATTACTTATCGCATTCCGCTCTTTCGCCCCTCATTCCGCCCATCCTTACTCTTACCTCGCCTATCCCTAACCTATCTCTGCCCGTCCCTAATAATAGCGTGCTCTCGAATGCATACCTTGTTTCTGTGGCGGTTGGGAAGGTGCTCAGTGACGGGACCCTAGAATTGGTTGAGTTTGCACTCTGTTTGAGACACTTCAGTTTTGTTTTCGTGCGACATGCTGTAGTCGTCGAGGTGGGTCGTTCAAGGCTTGATCTGGGCGAACCCTGTCCCCTTAGGCTCGTCCACATTCCAAACCTGACCACCTTGGTTTGTCTTGGCCTCGGCTGTTTTGGAGTTCGCTTTATTTGTTTCACATTCTCGTCACAAATTTCATCGTTCGTCACCCAATCCCATCCCTGCAAACCCAACCAAGTATTAAACGCTTGGAAATTGGAGACGCGAGCTTTAAGGCCATAAACCCGCCATATTCATGGCGATTATGGCCTTAAATTGCCATTTTTAAGACCCACATTTTTTAGATGGTGTGCGACGGTGGTGATGCCGCGCGTGCGATGTGCGACGGTGGTAGTGTCGCGGAAGCGATGTGCGATTTCGCAGGCGATAACACGGCCACTTGGGACTGCAAACATCACGCGTGGGTGGGGAACGAAAAAGGAACTTCGCGATTGTTGTAACAGGCGACATTCTTCGAGCCTTGACATCCGATGTGGAAATGCGTCGGCAATCTCAATGCCGACTCTGCTTCCTTCGCTGTTTTGAAGTGCCTCGAAACAAGAACCTCTCTATTGCTAAAAACAGCTCTGTAAGCAAGCTATCAAATAGGAATAATATTCCAAACTTGTGGATGTGATTCAGCAAAATCGAGTGAAGCATGACTCATCGACAGACCGTCAACAGCGAGTATGCTAGTACCAGTCCACGCAAATTCAAGGCTGGCACCATACTGACGCTGGCGATATGTTCTAAGGCGACCCAGATTCACACTATTTCCATAGCTACTTCGCAAATTGCTAATACCTGTCCACGCAGGCACCATAGTAACGCCGGCGATTCCAGAGCGAAAGGCGAGGAGGGGGTGCGAGGAAGCGAGGCAGGACGACGCGAGAAGCTCGGTCGCCCGCAGATACGCACCGGACGGACGAGCCAGGGCTGCGTCAGGAGATTTACTATTTAGTGACTCACAAATTCACGTATTCACGACTCTCGAATACACGAATACACGAATCTACAGTGTCTCACGGAACTATGAAATACCACGGAAAAGGTATTTTGCGGTATCTCGCGGAAGTACCGAATACCGGAGTGTGGAACTTCGGTGCTTGATGGAAACACGCTGCGCTAACAGAAGTGCCAGGACGAGAAACGCCGAGTGCATGCGTCACTCGGTGGAAAAAGAGGGAGCAGACACTAGTAATACAAGAAGGTTGAAGAGGCTCACTGGAAAATATGATCTTCGCCGTGACAGGCAGAAGTAACTCGCAGGCTGAAGCGCTATGCAGTAAGAAATGGTGGTGAAGGGGAGAAATCGAGTGGCGAGGGGAGATGCGTGATGTGGGAGAGGGTTGTGGTGAACGAAGCAATAAAATCCAGGACAGATTAATCTGTGTATCTTTTCTGGAAGGTAGTGTTCTGTTCTTAGAAAGAAACTACTCTCTTGTACATCGACGGCTATATTGAGTCCGTGCGAAGCGCCTCCTCCGACCAGATGGGAGCTGGGTCACGCGGCACGTACCTGGTGTCACTGCTGACACGCAAATCTGCAGGAACCACGTGGCGAAAAAGCCAGGGGGTATGAACGCTGACTGGAATCTTGACGGAAAGAGATCGCCGGCCGACTACGATGGTGGAGTCAGTGTTCCCTCTACAAGCTTTTTCTCTAGGGATCGGTTTTACTACAACGAGGCTTTAGTGAATGTGACATTTTCCATTTCTATCCACACAGAGAATCTAGTGCACAAAAAGTGAAGTATCTTGTAGATGAGGTTCACATTAGGGCGTGTAAAATCGCCGCACCTAAAAATTCGGCCACTAGCCAAGTGGCCGAATTGGCGAAAGTAACCTGTTTGAGAAAAAATCGAAGACCCTCGCGACCGTCGTTAATTTTGTCAATAAAAAACGAAATAGATGGCCGTTTTGAAAGTCGACTCGTATCCGACACCATGTCGACTCCAATTCGGCCAAGTAGTCGACATCAAACCTGTAAAGCTTGCAAATCTGCAAATAGTGGCTGTAAATGTGACGACACGAAGTCGACCAATCCGTCGACTTTCGCGAAAGAAATGTCGACCATGGTCGACGTAAAACCGGCCAAAAGCAGATATCGCAAATTTGCGGGGATTTTACACGCCCTTAGTCAACGGTAGAGTAATTCTATAAGGAGTACATGACAGCTCCCTCTCCGTTCCCCTCTGCCCTTCTCGCCTTCAAAGACACGACTCACGCAATTCCATACGTGTCTCTCGTGCAGCTCGGCCTCGGCACAGCCACCCTTGAAAATCCGCCATCTTCAACAGACGAATTCGTCCTTTTCCCGCCAACCTCTCCTTCCATCAAGATCTCCATTCGGCTCTCATCAACACCTCCATAGGGCAGCAGTTTGACATTGGAGTTATCGTTTCACCTCACATTTCCTCCAGAGGAATTCCAGCATTGGTTCCTGCGTCCTGATTCTGTGCAGCATCAGTGAATGCAAGTCGCTGCATTTCCTCTGTAGACAACCACTAAGTTGTTTTTTTCTCGCGTTTCGTTGTGAACCCGCCTTTACGCTTGTCCATAATGTGATATTTAATGTCCGGCAATGCTCAACGACGATTCATAGGAAGAGCAACGCTTCCGAGTCTCACTAGCTCTGCTTGGTACCATTACCATTCGCTCCCTGATTAAAAGACAACAGCATCGGACCTTTCCAGATTTCTTACTCACTCCGGATTGATGCATGTTCAAATGTGACAGTTTGTGTAAGGTTAAAGCAGCGCCGATGGAAACGGCCCGTTTGGTTTGGTTTCCTGCTACCCACGCAAGCCCTACCTAATGGTGTGAGCATCGCCTCGTATCATGGAGTTCATTTTTGAGTCGTCTCAAAAGTCACCTCGCGAGCTCCACCTGGTGGCGTGAGCATTGCCTCGCACCATGGAGTTCACGGTTCGATTCAGGGTGCCAGCTACGCTGCTAAAAATCACGAACGGTAACAATGGCGACGCCATGTCGTTGACCAGCGGCAGCACTTCTAGCAGCATTACCACCACCAGCAACATTAAACCAACGGTAGCAGCAGCAGTCCTGATTCTGTCAATGAGCAAATAACGGCTACGATCACCCAGCCAGCAGCGTCGTCCCACGTGGATTATTCCATATCCGTTGATCCGCAAGAGCCGCTACAATCGGCGTTCAACAAGCTTTTCCAGTCCCACCTCTCGCACTGCTGCCTGTTAAGTCAACAGACGCGTCAGCAGCAGGATGGCGTGGATACGGCCAGCGACGAAAAGGGTCAGACGGACGAACAGAAGCAGGCTGTTCGGTTCATGGCTGTCGGGCAAGTGGTGTACCTATCGCCTGAAGCATCACCGGAAAAGGTCAAGCTTAAAGCGGGTAGCGTGGTCAAAGCGCTTCCGGTAAGATCGAGGGAGGCGGGGGGAAAGGGAAAACCAGATTCGGGAGTTACCGCCACGGGTAGCAGCAGCAGCAGAGTTGTTGCGAATCACACACCCGCCTCTGCGCCTGCTTCTGCGCCTGGCTCTGCGCCTGCCTCCGCGCCTGTCTCGGCGCACCCGGCCCCTGCGACTGGCGGCAACAGCAAACCCGTCACCAACACCGGCAGGCGCGGCAGCAGCAGCCGTCGCATCCGACCCAGTATCACGAGCCCGCTAGACTACGAACCGATCTCCCGCCCGCACATGGTGCACCACGTGGATGTCAACCTCCCCTGGAACCACTCCCTCTGCGCCTGCTGCCTCTCGCGCATCCTCCACCCCGCCACCCCCACCACCTACCAAACCTCAACCCCAAACGCCCTCCGCCTGCACCTGCAGCAGCCGGTGCATGAGAAAATCAAGCCGTGCCCAGCCAGCAACAACCGGCCGTCCCAGGCTATCCTTGCATATTCCGCCACGGTTAGGGTGCAGGGTGTCTGGGGTACTATGGGCCCGGGTGTGGGGCGTGGGGGGAGTGGGCGCACTGCACTTGCCGCTGCGGCTGCTCGTAGGGTTGGCGGTGGTGGGGGTCATTCTAGGGTTGGCATTTCTGCAGGCTCTCCTGCGGAACAGTTCAAGTGGAAAGCGGATATCGCGCCCATGCCCGCGGCCGAGGGGATGTTTCTTGAGTGGATGGCAGAGCCACGTGTCGGGCTGCTGTTGGACCTGGATGTGGTCAGATGCCAGCTGGCAGATATGATGAAGATTCACGATCTGGCAACAGCAAGAGGTGGTGCTACAGCCGGTGGTGGTGCTCCCAAGCACTTCTGGTGGTGCTGCTGGCAGTGCAGCGCGTGTTGGACCGCCTACCGCCGCTGCCTCTCTGTGGTGGTCTTCCTCGTGCTTGTAGCGAGACTTCCCCGTATAGTCACACTCTGGCGCCTGCACATGAAATCCTGCTACGTGGCCTTCCCTGCTCTGGCGAATCAGCTGAACGCGCGGAGGCAGATCGGGGGGGTGGGGGGCAGGCAGGGGGAACGGCAGGCGAGTAGGCAGGCGGGGAAGGGGGGAGGGAGGCAGGTGGGTGGGGAAGCGGAGGAGGATTGCTTTGGATCGATCCTGGTGCAGGTGCTTGGAGTGAAAGGAAAGAAGGAGCTGGCATCCGGGTTTGCTGCTCATGTGCTGCCTCTGCTGCCGGGGGGAAGGCAGGCGCACGGGGGTATGAGAGCGGGGACGGGGAGAGGAGGGGGAGTAGGAGGAGGGATTGGCTGGGTGGAAGGGGGGGAGGAGTGGAGGGAGGGGTTGAGAGGGGTGGAGTGGGATGAGTATGTGGAGCGCATGGGGGAGATTATCTCCCAGGGGGGCCTGGAGGCTGAACAGTACAGGTGCAGCTGCAGGCAGTGCGGAGGAGACAACGAGGGTGTACGGGGGAGTGGGGATGGAAGCAGCAGGCATAAACACAGTGGCACTGCTGCTGGTGGTAGTGGTGGTGGTGCCGCCAGTGGCATGGTCATAACTGGCGTTGACCCGACTGACTTTGCTCTCCGGGCTGCATTGACTCTCTGTGTGCCGCTCGCTGCTGTCTACAGCATGCAAGCGTTTACCGGGGCATGCAGTAACAGGTACAAGGAGCGCGTGGAGGACGCTGCTGTGGAGGCAGCCAGGCAGCGGCTGGCAGAGAGGGAAGAGAGGCTGGCAGAGAGGGCAGGAGAGGGAGAGAGGGCAGCAGGGCAGAAGCCGGCAGAGAGGCACGGAGGACAGGAGGGAGGTGGGGAGAGGAACAGAGAGGATAGCGAAAGCACAGGGACGGGAGGAGCAGCGGCAGGTGCTGCTGGCACTACCGCTAGTGCCAGCGCTACTGCTGCCAGCGCCACTGCTAATGCCCGTCTCGTGCCAGTCATCAGTGACCCAGCAGTGGCACTCTTCACGTACCGATCTGCCTGCCTCCTTCAATGGGTGCGAGTCCACGGCCCCAGGCTCAACCCCCCCAGCTACTGCACCCGAACCAACCCGGAAGCCCCAGCCCTGGCGCTCCCGCACCCGGTGCACGACCTCCCGAGCCTGCTGCTCAGGTTCGGCGCCATCCCCAAGCCTGTGGGCACGGCAGGTTCGGAAGGTTCTGCGGTGCAGGAGTTTGGTGTGGGAGGAGGGGTTCCGGGGTGGGAGGAGTTTCCAGTGGGAGACAGAGAGAACCTGAAGGCACATAGCAGTGGCAGTGCTCTGGGAGGGAGGGAACGAGTAGAAGGCATAGGAGGGGTGGAAGAGGGGACTGCATGGCTTGCGAGTGGGGAGCTTTTGGGGCTGAATACCTTTCAAACAGGCAGCTTCCGGGACTCTGTGTTCGACCGAGACGAGATGCTGAAAGAATTCAACGTTGGGTCGGCAAAGGGTCTGCAAGAGAGGGGGATAGTCACGAGCCCAGTAGAGGGCGTGCAGGAGTATCGAGCTGCCAGGGTTCTGAGTGACAGCAGCACGGCCACTCCCGCGTTCCCGACCGTTGCGGACCGCGTCGAGGAGTTTCTGAGAAGGTTCTCGCCGAAGCGGCTGGCGAAGGAGGGGCGGGGCGGGCCGCTGGCCCAAGCGATCACCGACTGGGTGATGCGCCTCCACCTGGTGGCAGCTGCAGAGAGTAGCAGCAGCAGCACAAGCAGGGGGGCAAAGGGAGAGAAAAGGGATATGAGCTGGGGGGCGCTGGCCCTGGGGGCGTATTCCCCGGGCAAGTTAAAGCCCATGCTGAGATCCCCCTGGGAGGTGGATGCGTTTCTGGAGTTCATGGTGGGCATGACCACCCTCACGCCCGCCTGCACCGGCTGCAGCTTGTGTCTCAACGTGTTCAACCGGGCAGTTACTCCCGCCGCCGTTGTTGCCTCGTTTGCTTTCCGCCCCTCCTCAGTGCTCCTCCGCTGCATCCTCTCGCTGTATCCCCAGCGCTTCACTCCGGTGAGAGTTCTCCTAGACAATTAGAGACCGCATTCAAACCCAAAACCCCGAACTCCTCAGTTGGGAGGTGCTAGAGGTTGTTGAAAAGCCGTTATGTTAGATAATTGACTTTTGAGTCGACTCAAAAGTCAGTTCCCCAGTTGGGAGTTGTTAGAGGTTGTTGACAAGCCTTTATGTTAGATTAAATGCCCCTCTGTTGGCGCTCCCCCCGCTGCATCCTCTCGCTTTATCCCCTGCGCTTCACTCTGGTAAGAACTCTCCTTAACATTTAGAGACGCCGCTTAAACCCTAAACTCCTCAGGTGGGTGTTTCAAGAGGCAAAGGATAGGCCATTACGTTCGATTATATGCCCCCTCGTTGGTGCTCCTCGGATGCCTCCTCTTTCTCCACCGCCCACTCGCACCTCAGATGAGAGTCCTCCCTATAAAAGTGATTTTTTGAGACGTCTCAAAAAAACCTCCCTATAGGTGCCTGCGAGATATAGGTGACTGCTAGACGAAATGGGTGGGTTTTACGGCTATGAATTCGTCACCACGTTAGATAGAATGCCCCTCGCTGGTGCTTCTTCTGCGCTGCATCCTGTCACTCTACCTCCCGTTTTACCCTCAGGTTAGAGTTCACCCAGACCCTTCAATGTTTTGAAAGCAACTTAAAACCCACCCCGTTTGATAGAATGCGCTTGGTTGGTGCTCCTTCGCTGCATCCTCTCACTCTACCGCCCATGTTCCCATCAGGTGAAGGGGGAACATGGGTTTCTCTAAGCAGTCAGAGATGCCTTCAAGTCCCTGTAGTTATTATCACGACAAGTCATTGCTGAACGGGAGGTAGAGTGAGAGTCTTTCAATTCGCTTCTTTCTCTCCCCCTCTACCACCCACACCCCTCTCAGATGAAAGTGCTCCTCGACACGCTCGGAATCTACTGGTCATCTACTTGCAATTCCCCTCTGCCCTTCTCCTCCGTCTTTTTTTGCCCTCTATGCCCGCACCCCCTTAAGATGAAGGAGCTTCTAGAAACACGCTCGGAATTCCCCCCCTGCCGGACCTGGTCCCGGCTCGGCTCGTGGCTCCTCTTCTCAAAGGCGTGGTGGAGCACAAGCGCCTGCACTTCCTCTACACAGCGACATGTGTTGCTGTCTCTTGGAATCAGCTTGAACGATATAATGCCCCCCCCCATCCGTCTCCTTTACCCTGCTCTCTTCTCCTCTGTCTCCCTCTACCACCCACACCCCATTCAGATGAAAGAGCTCCTGGACACGCTCGGAATCCCTCCCCTGCCAGACCTGGTCCCGAACCGCCTCGTGGCTCCTCTTCTCGAAGGCGTGTTGGAGCACAAGCGCCTGCACTTCCTCTACACCACAGCCATCCTGCTGTATCGGGAAGGCGTCGTACAGGACATCATGGAGTTGCACAGAGCAGATGGAGTGGTGAGGAGTGAGGAGGAGTTGAGAGAGGTGGAGTGGAACGGGTGGGAGGGGGGCGAGGAGTGGCTGATGTGGGAGGAGGTGGATAGCTGGAGAAACGCAGTGCTTAGAGCATGGCCTGTTACTGAGATGTATGAGGCGCCGCATAGCTGGGCGGCGACTGGGGAGGAGGAGAGAGTGAGGGAGTGTTGTGCGGGTATGAGGCGGAGGGAGAGGGAGTGGGAGGAGATTAGTCGGGGGAAGGAATGGGATCTGGTGGATAGGATGGTTGCTGCTGCTGCTGCTGGTGCCGCTGGTGCTGCTGGTGCTGCTGCTTCGGAGGCTGAGAGTGAGGTGGTAGGAGGGGTGAAAATCGCGCCTGCGTACCTGGTGCCGTGGGTGGGGGGAGTGAACCCGTTTGCATGCCTGCGGGAGATGCTGCTGGGGGAGACGTGCTACTGGGAGCTGTCAGATGGGCGGAGGGTTGGGGTGACACCTGGGGCAGGCTCGGGAGCAGGAGAAGCAGGAGGAGCTGTGGCAGCAGGAGGGGTGCGTTGCTGTGCCTTTCCCGAGTGTGGCAGGGCGGAGGGGCCGGGGAGGCTGCCATTGAAGGCTTGCTCGCGGTGCGGCCAGGCTGCTTACTGTGGCAGGGACTGCCAGACGGCCCACTGGAAGGTGCACAAGTTGCAGTGCCAAGCCAAGTGATAGCCAGACTACCGGAATGCTGAGGAAGCATCCTGAACTGTTGCAGGCATGCTCGCGGTGTGGCCAGGCTGCTTACTGTGTCAGGGACTGCCAGAAGGCCCACTGAAAGGTGCACAAGCTGCAGTGCCAGCCTAAGAAATAGCAGATGGGATGAGGACAATGAACGAAATTGTGAGATAAGTGTGGCAAAATCGAAATTGTGAGGGGTCAGGCTGCTTACTGCGACAGGGACTGCCAAAGGGCCAATGGATAAGGAAGGGGGAGAGGGGAGGGGGAAATGGGGGGGGGGGAAAGGGGATTTGAGAAAAGGGACAGGGGAAGGGGAAGGGGAAAGGGAGAAAATGGAGGACAGTTGTTTGGCACATCAGAATGAGGGTGCTGCTTTAGGGCGGGTCCAACTCATCACAGCTCAGGTCAATATTAGGAACAGTAGCCCTAATTTTGTAGGGTAACTGCGTCAAATTTTGGAGATGTTGCTTTGGTGACGCACTTGGTTCTCACCATGCAAAACCAGTTCGTGCCAGATCACACCTTTCACTCGGTTTTTTTCCGAAAGTTTTGCAAACTGAGAAGCTTCCACAAATCCAACACCCGCAGCTACACTTCTCGGTAACAGGGTGGACCTGGGTTCAAGCGAATTTGCTTTTCGTCACCCTAAAATTCTGTCGCTCAAATGAATGGGCGCGATGTAGATTCCCACGATTGGTTTTCCGAAACCCAAATAACCAATGCGACATCTTTTTATTTCGCGAAGAAAATGTGGTATGCTCAATTCGATTTGTATGAGCGGGATTCTGTGTCCGCGTGGAGCGAGGTTTTCGTTTGGCTTGGATGCTCAGTCCGCGTAGAGCCTCCAGGACACAGCATGTTTTTGGGTTCGGATTGACTAATTGTCACCCAAAAAGTTGGGATTTCGTTTTAGGGGTGTGAAACCGGCAAAATGAAATGAGTTGGACCCGCCCTTATGTTCAGCGGTACAAGCCGGATGGAACGAAGTAGCGAGGATTGCACTAGAGTGTCAAAGAGTACAAAGTATGAGCGAAGGCATGAGCGAATACTTATGCGCGAAACATGCAAACGGTAACGCGGTGTGTGCGAGCTAGCTAGTGCTACGCTGGCAGCGAGGTTCGGGCTAGTCCCGAAGCGTAGGCCGACTCGGTTGGGCCAGCAGTGCGAGGATTGGTGAAACAGTGCACGCGAAGTTGGCGAAGCCCCGTTAGCAGTAACGGGCGAACAACGGTTGCTGCTGTACGCGATGTTGACGGTCGCGGTAAGGAATGTCGCGGATATTCCTTACACTACCCCCCCCCCCCCCCCCCCCCCCCCCTCAAGAAGCCCCCTCCGCTACGCGAGTGCGTGTATATCGCGGAAACCCCGGCTCCTCAGGTACACTTGTAGAGCAGGGTGGTTTTCGATGTTGGCCAGGGGCCCCCAGCTATCCTCAGTTGGCGTGCGGTCCTTCCAACGAACGAGGAACGCAATTCTCTTGATGCCTGTGGGGTGTCGAATCCGATGGCTCAGGATTTTCTCGGGCTCAATGATCGGCTCCGATGCAGGGCGAGTCATGGATGGCGGACGGTGACGAGGCAGATGGCTCGTGGTTAGGATGTAAGGGCGAAGCAGGCTGACGTGGAACGATGGGCTGATGTTCTTGTCTGTCGGCAACAGTAAATGGGCGGTGACTGGGGTGACCATGTGGCTGATTTGGAATGGTCCACAGTAGCGCTGTCGTAATTTCGGTACGACGGGCAGTCTTAAGTTCTGCGTGTCGAGTAGTACGTAATCCCCTGACTGGTACGTGACTGGGCGGCGGTGGCGGTCAACGTTTCTTTTTGCGATGACGTTGGCTTTTTTAATTGCTTCAGCGGCTCTGGTGCAGCAGCTTGCAGAGTCTCGGCAAATTGCTGTGCGCGCGGCGTTGGGTTGTCCGGACTCGGCGTCATGGGCACTGTTGGATTTTGCCCGTAGTTCAGGTAGAACGGGGAGTGTTGCATCGTCGTTGACGTGGCGTTGTTGTATGCGAACTCGATCAGCGACAACTGCTGCTCCCATGTTGTCGGGTCGTCGCACATGGCGCGGATCAGCTGCTCCATGGTCTGATTGGTCCGCTCCGTTTGACCGTCGGTCTCGGGGTGGTACGATGAGCTGAACTGTAGCCTGGTCCCGAACTGCTCCCAGAGGTTCTTCTAGAAGTTGCTGGTAAACTTCGTGTCGCGGTCGCTGATGATTGCGGCTGGTATCCCATGCAGTCGAACGACGGTTGCGATGAACAGGCGAGCGGTTTCTTCGGCTGAGATCGATTTCCTGCACGCAGCAAAGTGAGCCATTTTCGTCAGTCTGTCAACGACGACCATTACCGCGTCGTTACCCCCAGGGTTCGAAGGTAACCCTGTGACGAAATCCATGGTAACCTGCTGCCAGGCGCGCTCGAGCGGTGGAATCGGCTGCAACTGACCCGCCTTTCTTTTTCGCGAGCTCTTCATCACCTGACACGTTAGGACACGAGCCCACGTGGTGTTGTACGTCAGTCAACAGCTCCGGCCAGTAGTAATACCGCTGCAGTTGTGTCGCATTTTTTCTACCCCGAAGTGACCCAAGGTAACCTTGTCGTGTGCCTCCTGCAGTAACAGTTCCCTCAGTAGTGAGTACGCGGGTACCCAAATGCGGTTGGTGACTGTCTTTACATAATAGACTCCCTTGGCTTCTGCCAGTTGCTGTGAATTTCCGGTTGTGAAAAATGGGTCGGTGCGATATCCGTGGGTGAATAGGCCTGTCAATAGTGGGTTGGTCTGGGCGAGTAGGATGGCGTGGAGTTGGGTGGTAGGGCGGGTGAGTGCGTCGGCGACATTTGATGCGCCTTTTTTGTACGTGACGGTGAAGTGGAAGTTGGACTCCAGATATTCCAACCAGCGGATCTGTCGCGGATTGAGATTCGGTTGGGCGCGGAGGTACTGTTGTGATCGGTGAAATGTCCGTACTGTCACGTCTGCTCCGGTGAGGTAGCATCGCCACACTTTGAACGCGTGCATGATCGCCAACATCTCGCGGTCGTGTATCGGGTAGTTGCGTTTGGCCGGGTGAAGCTTGCGGGACTCATACGCGATTGGCTGAAGGCCGTTCCCGAAGTCCTGCAACAGTACTGCTCCCACGGCGATGTCACTTGCGTCGGTGACGAGCTCGAACGGACGGTGTGGATTTGCGATGTGAAGCACGGGCGGCGAGCACAAAATTTTCTTGAGGGCCAAGAAGGCAGCTTGCTCTTTCTCCCCCCACGTGTACTCAACCCCCTTCCTCAGCAGGTCGGTCAGCGGAGCAGTCAACTTCGCCATGTCGGGGACGAACCGGCGCACGTAGTTGACGAACCCCAAGAAACTCAGCAGCTCAGTCAAATTTGTCGGCGCGTGCCATGCTTGAATCGTCGCGATCTTCTTCGGGTCTATTTCCACTCCGTCGGCTGAAATAATGTGCCCTAAAAAACTCCAGTCTGTCCTGTAGGAATTCACACTTAGAGGCCTTGGTCAGTAGTCTGTTCTCACTCAGTATTTTAAAAACTGCTTCGATGTCCTGTAGGTGCTGTGCTCGGTCTATGCTGTAGATCAGTACGTCGTCTAATTATACGATGACGCACTTATCTAAAAGCGGGCGGAAGGCTTCGTTCATGGTCATTTGAAATGTGGCGGGGGCGTTAGTCAGTCCGAATGGCATGCCAGTGTATTCGAAGGATCCGTAGCGTGTTCGGAAAGCTGTTTTCGGGCAGTCGGGTGGGTTGACGCGGATCTAGTGGTAACCTCCTCGAAGGTCGATTTTCGAGAAAACCCGGGCTGTGCGCAGTTGGTCGGTCGGCTCGCGGGATGGGGTAACGGGACTTGATGGTAACTCTGTTCAGTGCGCGGTAATCGATGCACATGCGAAAACCCCAGTCTTTTGTCGGTGTGAACAGTATCGGTGTTGCGAAGGGTGACGAACTCGGACGAATGAACTCCTTCTCGAGCAGGTAATCCAGCTGCTTCCTTAGTTCGTCCAGTTCGGGTTGGGTCAATCGGAACTGTCGCTGTACTGTCGGCTGTGCCCCCGGTTCTAACTCTATCCTGTGGTCGTGCGATCGCTGAGGTGGCAGTCCTGTCGACAGGTCATCCGGGAAAATCCCACTGTACTGCTTCAGTAGCGCTGCCAAGTCATCCGGTACGTCGGCTAGCAGTTTATGTAAATCACTCCCCTTGTCTACTGCCTCGGCTTCCCGAATGTCAACCGCATACACGTCAGCTCCTGCTACTACGGCGTGTTTCATTGTGATTGCGTTGACACGTACCGACGAAGACTCAGGCGAGCCCCAGCGAGGTAAGGCGCTGTTGTTACCGTTCACTCGTGTCAGAATGTAGTTTGTATAGCCTGCAGTGGGGTACTCTGTAGTGAGTACGACCCCTTAGGGTTTCCTATATGTATCCTCCTGCTTGCTAGTGAACATTCTCCTTTGCTCATTTCTCTCTTGCCTAGCTAGGTAAGCCCTAGCTATGGCTCCTCATCGTGCCTACTATTTTGACAACTCGCACGGTGCAGTCACACGTCGTCCAGTCGATTCGCGGGTTGTGTCGTCGCAGCCAATCACGGCCGAGTAAAATGTCGGTTCCATCGAGGGTTGTCGCGAGCATTTCCTGACTAAACGTGAAGTTACCCCCGCATCGAATCCGAACTCGGTCCACACGTTCCCGTATCACCAGTGGCGTGCCATCGACCAGTCTTGCATCAATCTCAGGTAAGCATCTGTCCAGTGGCAGTTTCAGCTTCTGTGCTGTGGCAGTGTTGATGAGGCTGTGGCTGGCTCCCCCGTCTACGAATATTTTAACTAAAGCTGTCCCGATTTTCCCACTAAGTAGTATTGGGCTATCTACCGCGGTACCCTCCTTATTCGGCCGGGTGTGGTCGATTGCGTGAACCGGCATAATCACTCGGTGAGGGTCGGTTGGGTCAGGCAAGCGGCGTGACCTGTCAGTAGAGGGCAC